AAAGATACACAGTAGCTCTTTGTTCTGGTTGTTGCCGGTTTCGATAACGATAAGTAAACGGATTTAAAATCGGGATAATATTGGTAAGGGAAAGCTGGTAAATGCCATTATAAATATGGCAAAATAGCACATTATTCGCCAGCACAAAATGTAATTAAATATAATAGAAAACAATCAAAAAACCAAATCCCATAAATTAAACTCTCTGCACAAAACACTCTCGGCTTTGGCAATTGAACAAATAGCAACAACAACAACAACAACAAAAAAACAAACGTGCTGTGAAAAAACGTATGGAAAATAATACAATTTTAAATCTGTCAGTGGAATAGTTAATGCCATATTAGTTGTTCTGAGCTAATAAAGCGTAATTATCAACGCATTTATTTAATTAGCCGCAAAAAGTGCATAGAACAAAGCTCCTCAATCAGTCGACTTTTCCCCGTCCTCCAAATTGTCTACAAATTGTGTGGCATATATAATGACAATTTAATAGGCTTGTCAATCTGCTGCTGTTTGTGCGGTAATTTAATTTAATCCCAAAAATCGTGGGTACCTAAATACAAGTTTTCAAAATACATAAAAGACATGAAGTGGCAAAGTATATTTAAAGACATGCATTCTGCTTTTCCAATCGACCGACCTCATTATGCAGTCAACAAGATTATCGGACTGAAACTGAAACAGACGGACAGCGAATGGATTTGCCATTTGATTTAACATTAATGAACAAAATGCAATTAATTGAAAACTATTTTTATTCCGACTCTCTGTTTTTATGTTGTTTGTAATTACCTTTTGTGCATAATTGGTGGGCTTTAATGGGTTAACAAAATGCGATTAACCGAAATGCAATTGCGAAATGCAAATGGGCCTCTTTCTTTCGGATGATTGGAGGGGATATCCCCTAGTCACTTGGGCTAATGACAGGCGGCAGATTGAAACTGGCAGATAAAGTCGGCACACAGGACGGGCGGCAATAATTCTCCATCAAAAATGGGGACTCCAGGAGGAGTCGTCGGTCGTCGGTCGTCCCACTTGTTGCTGTTGCTGTTGCCCCGCCCCCTTTTGCCCTGCCGCCCAGCCGCCTTCTGTGTGACAGTTTACAAAGTGCTGCAATTAGGGCTGACAAAGTACCCGACTCCTGGGCTCCGAAGGGAACATTGTGCGAACACCCGAATGAATTTGTTTAAACATCTTCCCCTTGGCTAGTGTGCAAGTATCTGTTGGATATGAATTAATCAAAGACTAAATAAAATGCTTAGCATTTGCATTTCAGCCCGTTTCAACAAACAATTTGTCAGCCTTCGTAATGGACAGCAACAGAGGCAGAGGCAGAGGCAAGTGTCACAGACGGATTCTTTTCAGAAAATACATAAAAATACATATTTTCTAATTCCCCCGCACAAATGTCGAAGAAACTATTTTGAGGACGGACGCACGGCTGTTGCTTCTGTTTTCTGGGGGTAATTGGAGCTGCATTGGTCAGCAGGGGTTAAGGCAAAGTAATTTTCATTGAGATGCCGTAACGCCCTTCCTTTCGCTTTCGCCAATCACATTTTTTGTTATTTTTGATATTTGTGACTTTGGCATTGACGTCTGCAGGGGCTGTCGATCGAAATAGACTTGGCGCAGAAATACCGCCGCTCGAATAAATATCTCATCTCGGTGGGCGGAAGGCCAGCGTTTTGAACTACTTATTTTTCCAAGGAAAACTCTCGGAATGTCTGTCTTTTATGTGAAATTCCCAATCGCCCGTTTAAGCGCTGGCAAATGTCGGGCAATTAATTCTCGATCCCAAAGAAGAGATGCACGTAAATGCTGTTGTGATTTATGAGCGCGCGCCGCACGAGATTTTATAATTTGTTCAACGTAACGTGCATGGCCAAAATAAATATTTTCCGTTCGTTAAATTCATAAACAAAGCTCCGGAATGGGATGATGCGGGCTTCGGCTTCCCCACTTAAACCTATCCTATCCCATAGTGCCGACTCAATCGCAATCTCTCGTTGGGTTTTTGTGGCGATAAAACCAAAAATGTTTGCCAGTCACGTTTGTGGTGCAGAAAGAGCAGTGGCGTTGGCTCCCAGCGTGAAAAAGGGGTAAACGGCGGGGGGGTTAAGTCGAGTTCGAGTTGAGTCTGCACTTCTTCTGTTCGTCGAAGATTTCGCGTCTGTGGGCGTTTATTTTGAACGCACTGCGGTTATGTAATTGCGAGGCGTCAGATACGTGATTACTTTTAGTCAAATTGCCGCTCGAATATTGTGTAATTCCGTTGTCTCCACTTTGCCTCCTTCACTTGCGATTTCATATCTGTGCGAAAGTGTGCCATCGAAGTTGTTTTGCCAGGGAAATGTGATTAACTCGTTGGCAGAAGTTAAGGTCAGGGTTGCAGATCGAAGTGGTTTGGAGTGGTGAGAGCTATTGGGTTTCAATTTGGATAATCAGTTAAACACAAACACCTAAAGTAAATGACAGGGGCTCATAGATTGTTTCGTAAAAATCTCCTTTAACCAAATTCTGGGTTTGGTGTCAGAAATAAACCTTTACAAAATAATGAAAGAAAGATTTAAATACAACTTAAAAAGCATTATAGGTAAGTTTTCCCAACTATAGTACTCTGTAATCCAGCAAATGGATGCGGATACAGTTCAAGATCAACCGAAATGAGGTCATATCTCATTAATGCTCTACTCATATACCGTCTACACCCCAACTTTTCTCAGGGGAGCACCTCATCAAAGTCTGTAGAAATATTCTTCAATCCATTATCTCTGGTTGTTTGCTCTTGTTTCGCGTTATTTCGCTGTGAATGACATACGAACCCTGAAGAGCCACAACAAAGATACGAGAAAAGTGCTAGCCTCAGCAAGGGGAACGAGAATGCAATCTACCATGACAGTTCACGAAGGTTAAATTCTTGAGAAATGATTTGGTGCCGAGAGAAACGTAGAGAACTGCAAACTGCAAACTGTCAACTGCAAAAAACGAACTGCCAATGCGAGAGCGAACTAATTAAAATATACGCAGAGCTGTTTGAATTTTTTAGAGCATGGTCCCCTTTTCCCGTCGTCAATCCCCCCGATTGTTGCACTGTGTGCACGAATCCGAGTCAAGTGAAGTCAACCCATGAAATATTGTCACGCACCCAGGAACGGAATAGGATGTGAGCGAGAAGTGCCATTCTAATGAGCTCGGGTTACATTTCCGCGACGGCCTTTAATTTACGATCCCCGGCTGAAGAAGAAATTGCAAGCATTGCCTCAGCACAGAGAGAAATTTCGAACAAAAGAAATACTTTCTTTGAATATATGTCAAGTCATACATTTAATGGTAAAAAAGTATAAGTAGATGGTTAATGTTTCTTGTTTCTTTCCTCTTTTTGAACTAATGATTAATTAAGTTCCTAAATTTTAAGGGGAACAAACGAAATGTTTCGCCAACAACATGAAATGCTTACTCTTTTCCAATCATCCGTTTTATTAAGATTATATACTAAATCTTTTTAAGTTTTTATTTTTTTTTCAAGAGTATAAAATATTAAAAAGACATCTCAGCTAGGCTATTTTTTTTCTTTGCTTCATACACAAAAAAAATTCTATCAACATGGAATACATATTTTAATGTATTTGCTTTCTGCCATCTCTTTTCCAACCATCCGTTAGGTAATTATTTCCACCCTGAACCGATAAACCGCAGTGTAAACAAAGACATTTCATTCATCGACAAAAAGTGGGCAGTGGGCAGTGGCAATGGCCATTAGCTCATTCAAGTTTATAGAACTGCTATCTTATCGGACCATTGATTCATGGGTGTTGTGAGGCGTTGTAAGATTGATTCGTGAAAAGTTTCGGTTGCGCCTTACAGCTATTATTGGAGAGGTGACCAACCGTAACTAAAGCGCAAGATAAGAAGGTGGGTGATTAATGGATCATTAGGTCACTGAACCCTGGCAAGAAAAAAATAGAAATCGGACTAGAACAAAGCGAATATCAACAAGTTTTGGTCATGGCTAAATTACATCACAGGCTAACTGGCTGACTGCCTGCTGGTGGTCTGGCATGAATTGGAAATGGCAAATGGAAATGGAGAGCAACCACTGCGTATACGTGATGTCAGAGATAGCCAAAGTGAGAGTGAGAGAGAGGATGTGCTGGCTGAAAATAGATCGGGCGAAAAGGAAAAGCGAAGAGCAGAGACGAGAAAATCGCAATTGCCAAGACAACGAAAGACACTTTTCTTCGGACCGAGCAGGCGACCTAGAGAACTGGCTTCATTAATATGCGATGCTTTATGCTGTCGCCGATATATAGACTACTATATATCGCTCAAAACGCTTCTAAAATGTCTCAGAAACTGTGGCGCCAAACCGCAGCAATTCGAGCATGAGAAGAAGGCGCAGGAGGTGGCTGGCAGCCACATCCGCACCACTTTCGCAATTTGTGTATCTGTATCTGGCAGATATTGTATCTGGCGGACGGCGGATGGCGGATGGCGGATGGCTGCCTAGCTGACTGACTGACTGAGCGAGAATATTCGGAAACAAATCCAATCCGCGCAGCCATTTCGAGGCGCTAAAAATAAACTCACCTTGAAAAGTTTCTAAAAATTTTCTCGCTTTTTGACTATATAATTTTATTCAATTTCAACGAGCCGAAGATCTACGACGTATCTGAAATTTTGTATCTGTGCGCTCTGGCCAACAAATTTGATAAATGCGTCAAAAGAAATTCCCTGGATCGGCGTGCCAAGAAAATTATTTAGCAATTGAATATATTCGAGAGCTGCCGAGTCTTTGGTTTCGTAAGGTATTTTACTTGTTGGTAACCTTCACTGAAATCACACCTCACACGACACAATATTTAGTGGAAAGGGGGGCGGGGTGGGAGGTTTCTGATTCATCAGCGGTCCTTGCAAATCGATTGCTGCAGGCTATTGTATAATCAGCTGATTTATACTATATTATCTGTGGCTGATTTCACATGTGAACTGGTACTGACCGATTTGTTTCCGATCAGGTGGCTTTAGCTGGGTTTCGATTCGATTCGGTTTCGATTTGGTTTTAAGTTTTTGATTTGGACTTGGATCGGTTTCGTATATTCGTGGCGATTTTTGTGGTGCACTGCCAGTTGTTCAGTTCTTGGGCGACGTTAACTAAGCGACGATTTTCTCTCAACTAAAGCAAAAACCGAAACCGAAAATTTTTATGTGCATTTTGTGCCGTTTTCGAATACAAAAATCTTTTCAACCACATCGCTGGCATCGACGTCGCAGTCGCAGTCGGCGTCGCTGCTTTTGGGCCGTGCGAGAGGCTATATGGCAGCTATATAGACATTGTCGGTGCTCAATTCCCAACCGATTCCGGCGGCAGAGCCGCAAAGCTACAAACGCCAGACGAAGGCGACGGCGACTGCGACTACGACGGCTGCCAATGTCTGTCTGGCTTTTGTGGCCACTGGTTTTTGTTTTTGTTGTTCTCGGTTCGGGATATATTTTGTTATTTGGCTAATTGTTTGTATTTTGTTTTCATTTCCAAGCTTTTAGCGGCGCAGCTAGCTAAAATGCCGATGTGCAAGCAGTCCGTTTCGGGGCTATAGCTCATAGAAATCCGAAATGCGATCCAATACTTAAATTTTTTTTTTTAAACCAAACCTTTTCCGACTAGCTAAAAACTTATGTTTAACATTTTTTATATATTCATTTAAAGATCTATTATTATTCATTTAAAGGTATATTACGAAAAGTGCTTCACATAACCCTCTATTGTTAGATATTTTTATATAAGTCGACTGGTAGGATAACTGCTTGTTAAAGTAGCTAGTTTTTAAAATATACCAAAAAGATTTTATCAAAGGCCTTAAAAGATTATAGACCCGCTACCCAAAAACCAACGTTTGTCATACATTCTTGACATATTTGTTTTTAAGATTTCTTTTCTATGCATTTAAAAAACCCCTATTGTTCGATACAGATTTATTTTCAAACGCAAATTTAGCTGCACATTTTCGTTTTCTTATTTACGAATTCCCCTATGCCTATGAAACGCACATTTGGCACGTCTCTTTGAAGTTGAGCACAACTGCAGGTGCTATTCAGTTTCTGCTGGTGAACTATTTCCCGTGATCTGCTTTCCTTTAGACCACAACAAAGTGTAAAACCGAATTGAGAGCAACAACCCCGGGAAGTGTAGGGAATTTGGGTCACAAAAGATCCTGAGTGCATGAATCAGCGGTGGTGAGTCCATCGGAGGTATGATCTGTCGGATTCATTATAGATTTCCCAATAATCGATTAATCATTCCGTCGGGGTCACCTACCCTTTTAGGCAGGCATTTTTAGAGATCGAAGGTCGCTTTAAAACCAAAATGCCCTGGCTAAAGCGAAATTTCCACAAATTCCGTTTCGAGTGCATGAAAAGTGAGCCATAAAACATAAATATGTTAAAATGTTGCCATGGCGTTACGCTTACAAAAATAAACGCAAATATGTTTTGCCAGCGCTGATGTGCTCAATCAAGCAGCGAAATGAAACGAAACGAATTGAATCGTATCGAGGCAAACAATTCAGCAAACCACAAAAAATAATACAAGAGAAAACATGGCTGACTATGTGGATAAATATGTATAATATAATATAATATTTGGATGTTTTATACAAGCGCATATTTGTGTCTACATCGCATCGCATCGCATCACGGGCGGGCATAAAAAGCTCAGGCGAGTTAAACAAGAACGGCAAACAAGTAAACAAATAATAATAATCCCACCACCCGCCGCCTATCTTTTGGGCCAAAAAAACAAAAAACAATTTCGACTTTTTAATTAAATCATGTTGAGTGGTAAAAATAATATTAAATAATCTGACTGTGGTTGAGCTGTGCGGAACGCAGCAACTCAATCAAGTCACTAAAAAACACTGTTCTGCCTGCGCCGATTAAGATACCGAACAACCGAGATATGAACGTAATTAAGTTTAAAGACCGCATCTCGACGATCTTTTTCGGTTTTAACGACGATGACAACGGTTAGTTACACAACAACTTGCGGTTAACACTTTTGCTTTTTTTTATTGAGGGGTTAATTGCTTATATCTGTTTTTGATTTTCGGGGATGCTGAGTCAACGGTCAAGCTTTTGGAGCCATGAATCACTCGATCGAGGGCCCTGTGGCCCCGAAACCGGCTCTTCTCGGCCAACTCGAAAAAACATTTTGGCAGGAGGCAAACAAGAAACTGGCCAAGACACTTACACTTCACTCGCACTTGTTGGAATCGCAAGCGGATTCGGATCGTTCTCTCTGCGAAAATGAAAAGCGATTTGTGGGGTTTGGTGGGGGGGGAGTACTTCGAGACACTTCGTACTTCGTTCCGGGATTTTCAATATCTTTCTTCTGGGCGAGACAACCGCGCGCGATCGTTGCGTTCGAGCGAATGAGGGCTTGGATCTCGAAGACGACGACGACGACGACGGGTTGTTTGGAGTCGCACTGAAAGGCGAGCAGCGACTCACACAGATACTCCCGCTCACCCACACAACGGCACTCCGCTCTCTCTGTCGCTATCCCTCTCTCTTTCGCTCAATCAACAGGTAAGCGGACAGCCGAAAGGTGCGCAAATGTATCTGTATCTGTTAGTGCAATTGTAAATGTAAATGTATCTGTATCTGCATGTTAGCCGCTCGTGTGCGGCACTTGCTGATAAGATAAGACCCGAAAAGCCGAAAAAGCAACGCAAACATAAACAAACATGAGGCGCAATTTCAGCTATGAATTTCGCAGCGCGTGGTAATGTAATGGCAATCCTGTTCTACAATTTCGGATCACTGGCCTGGATCAATATTTTGGCCGGGCTAATTTGCAGCAATTCGCGTTTTATTTAATTTTTTATTTTTGCGCTTCGATTCTATATTTAGGTTGCATGCCACATCGCACCGAAACTGGTTCCTCCAGTTTCCTGATAATCTGGGTGACGGCTACACAACCCAAAACAACAGCGGCCCCAACACACAACACCCCGATTCTGGCCGGGCAAAAACCTCCACTCGCCGCCAGTGCCTGGTTTTTCTCTTTAGCGCCAAAACAAAAATAGGAAAAGTGGTCAAAGGGACGCTTTTTGTACACCCTCTTGATGTTATTTTAGGGAATATAAATTGCTTATCTTATACTTATTTTATTTATTTTTGTGAGAGAACAATATTTTCAGTCCTATTAAAGCAATCTTACCTCTGATTTTTATTATATTACGTAAATTATATGTAATAGAGCTCAATAAACTAAACTTATTATAATATGTAGATTTTATATTTGGTAGTTTTTAGGGTGTTACCTTCTACAGGTTAGGTTAATATTTTGTCCCACCTATCTAATCAATAGCAACTAGTTACCTGATAAAAAAAAGCTAAAAGTAGCTTTTATTTCAACTTCATCGCTTAATTAATAGTATTAAACACTGGGCTGGAGGTCTTATGAACTTAATTGCCATATCGCAAAAGCCCTTTGTAAGAGTAACACTAAACCAAATGCAGTTCCTCCCAAAAAAAAGCGATCAAACTGCGCAGTTGGCCGAAAACCGGTTGCCGCCTTGCAGATCGCCTGCTTTGGGCCCTTTTGCAGTGATATTGACCAAGAGCGAGAAGCGGGCCAACAGTCCCCTCACTTCCTTCTTTCTTCTTGGAGGTGAAAAGAACAAACAGAAACCAAAAGTGCTAGCCCCATGACTTTGGCTAATGCACGCGAAAGCGGCAGTAAATCATTTGGCAGGTATTTTGTTTGAAACGTCTTACAGATCGGTCTTAAGAACAGAATCGAGGGAGAGGAAACGACATGGCGCAGTCATCTGGAAAATGTCACGCATGCGTCGTCGGCATGCGCGTAATTGCATTGAGGATGTGCGGCGGCCAAAAGGATGAACCAACTAAATAATCTAGTGCGGATCGCACTTGGCTTTACAATTTAATGAGCGTATGAATTGGGAATAAGCACCAGAAAACAAGCTAGTTGTTCGCCAATAAACTTTAGATAAATGCAGGTTAATTAAGGAACTCTTTTCGAGAAAATATATATATTTAATAACAAGATTTTAGGCTCCACACAGCAACTTATAAAGTTATTTAACTTAACTTTATTCGCGCAATTTCTTTGTTGTAATTATTTAAATGTGGTGGCGCCACACCAAACGATTAATCGACGTTCGAATTCGGAACTTAGTCTCCCGATGTTCATCTGCGACCATCTACCGTTAAGTTAATGAACCTCTCAATTTTACATGCATTTTACATTTATGCCTAAACAGCGCCATCTTGCGGTATAAGCTACAAACTCAATAGGACAATGTGGCGTTTTATTCTACCAAGGCACAAGTAAATAAAATGTTTTCAAGCAAGCATATTGTAATAAATATAATGTCCTGTATAAGTACCATGTATAATTACTGTCGAATTTTGTATGACTACCATACTTACTCTGAAAAAAACTGAGGTAGCATTAATTAAATGTTTTACCAATGTTAACTCTGGTATGTCCCAAAGATTACCACAAAATATTATTTATTCCTCGAATACCTGTAAATCTAACATTTTTGTCGAAATAGTTTTCGGACTTGCAACCTGCTTCTACTTTACCAAAGTACGGATCCAGCGCATAAAGCTGATCGGTCATACTCTCCCAAGCGTACTATGCTAAAAATTAAAATGTGTTTCTGATTTTGTGCACTGCAATTGTCGGATTTGCCAATACAAAACAAATATGTTCTCATTTGTTATGCCTTATTTTCATGAAATGAAGTGAGATAATGTCATCAGTTTTATGCTTCTCAATTTTATAACTCATATTTGTATTGAACTAACACAGTTACAGTTATAATAAAATAAACTAGTCACAATTAACTGTATCCACTAACCAATCGGCGTAACTTTGAATATTTGTATACACAATTACACCACGCTTGTCAAAGCTTTTTATGCCGAAGAGAAGGTACCTGTCGGTGCCGCTGACATTTTGAAACGAACCCAATGTTGAACCGGGGGACTCGTAAACAAAGTCGCTAGGTTGCTCGACACAAAATTGACTGGGTTCTACTGGATCTTCAATCTTTTGGGAGCAAGCAGAATGATCGATGGGGTTCAAATTTACATATCTAACGCCCATAAAATCTTCCGTGACCACATCGACAAGGGCAGTCACCGCCCTGGGAGTTTTGGAGTTCAGGACGATGCAGATCGGCTTCACAAGATCTTAAAATAAATGACTCTGTTAGGAAAATAAAGTGGTCTAAACTGAATCACAATCACCTGAGTTGGGAACTTTCTGAGCTAGTTTAAGCAATGCAATATCGTTTTTGGATGATCCTGCTGAATATTTAAACTGGGGATGCTTGTGAATTGATTCAACGTCAAGGCGCTCATGATATTTTGTTTCGACCTTTCTGCATAGAAAAAAAAATATTAAATCGATAAATAAATTATTAATAAATATACTTACACGGGAGTGTAACCTGTGACGAAGGCACTTGCAACAGTCACGACAAATCCTTTTAAATTTAAATAATAGGTAATCAACAATTTGTTAAACTCAAGTCAACAAAAACTTACGGTTTGTGATAAGCGCGCCAGTGAAAGTACTTTGAAACAGAGACACCTCCCAAAGGCGAACAAAAACATCTTCAGGCCAATTGCTGCTGCACTCTTCAAACAAAACCCGATCCCCTTGGGTTTCGAATGTGCGCACAGTATTATATATCCAGTGTCTGTAGGCCGTAACATCTGTGTGGAGGCTTGCGGAATTGCACAGTTCACTGCCATTGCTTACGATCCCAAACTGTACGGTGAGCTTTTCTCCGAAGAAATCTAAATCAGCCGCCAGCGGTCCGCCGGAGTTTTCCAAGCAGGTGTCGGCTTCAAAGTTTCCGGCGCAGATCTGATTATCGATATCGTTCCTCATCTTGCCATTTTGGTTACATTCGACTGGACTCCTATGGGACAGAACCACGGCCTGCAGTGTTTTCCTTTGACTCCAGCCAAAGGCCCTGAAACTTTTGATTGGCCAAGAACTGATGTCGTTAAGCAAAACTATGCAGATCGGGTGGATGCGCGCTGTGGGCAAAATAAATATTTTTGGCAATTATTCAGCAATTAACTAACCCTCTTTAGAGACATTAAAATTTGCCAAAGAATGTCAAGAAAGTAGGGCAGTCATTTTAAAGTAAGTTTTTATTTGCTTACCAGTATACACAACTTCACCGCGCAGTTTTAGCAGACCTATATTGTTTGCGGCGGTGTGTGGATTATAATCGCGATGTTGAACAGCCATGGCCACACCATATTGTTCAACGTTGTTGCAACGCGATCGAGAGCAATCGTACTCCCCCAAACGAACGAATCTGAGGTGCAAACCGGCAATCAGAAACTGAGATCTTTAATGTTGGAGTAATACTTACAGTTGACTTCCTTCTGCCATGCAACTTGCAGCCGTTAGGACAAAGACTAGAAGCAGATATTGTTAATATACGGATGATGCTTAGACAAATATGAGTAATGAGTTGATGTTTTATACTAACGTCTGTGCACAAGAGTTCCAGCGCAAATAAATTCATTTTGATTGTAGACGGTGGCCATCCATGGTGTTTTGAATTCTTTTAAGTCAAATCCCTTCTCGCATTTGTCATCTAGAAGCTGGGCCGATCCCTTATGACAGATCACCAAAGCGAACAGAGATAACGACAGCAGAACAGACATTATTCCCAGAGAAAATTTGCTTTACTACTGACAGAGAAGCGCCATTTCCTATAAAATAAAAGCCCCAAGAGAAATCGACGAGAGTCTTATCAGCACAGCTGCTGATTTTTATTGATCTGTTTTAAGAATTAACGTCTACTAAAAGTTAAAAGAGCTTAAATTCTAGGCTATTTTGTTGATGATAATGAATAATTGTGAAGCCTATACCTTTTTGTATGTATTCTTGTGGTATAAAGTTATTTAATGCTTTTGAATTTTTGTTATTTTATCTTAACTGAATTCATATCTCAAAACCGTTGTGTCTAATTTCAAGCCGATTGGAGAAAAACATATGAATGATGGGTTTTTTTTGTTTTATTTTTTTAATATTTTTGGATATATGTAAATCCCAAAAATGGGAGTTTACCCAAGTATCTGATGGGTTTTTTAATGAAAACAAGTGAACAGTCTTACAAGTTTGTTGCTTTATTAATTTTTAAAACCTTGCTTCAATCTTTATTTTCATTCAAATTCGCGCACTGCATCAGATATCCACCTGCTAAAATCCATCACATCCGTGTGGACGCTATACGAATCGCAAAGTTTGCTGCCGAGGCTTACGATCCCAAACTGCACGTATCGTTCGATTCCCCGATACATGAAATATGCCGCCAACGGCCCGCCGGAGTCGCCATCGCAAATGTCGCCACCACGGGTGCCAGCGCAGATCTGATTTCCGTAATAATGGCCGTAGCATTCGTCCATGTCCAACCTGGTCAAATTTATAGTCTGCAACACTGGGCTCGTCGACCCTGAACTGTTAGTCAAACCCCAGCCGTAGGCTGACAAGCTTTGCACTGCCTCTAACTCTTTCGCTAAGCTGCGCTTGTTTTCCAAGATTATGCAGATCGGACGAATGTAGGCTATAAATTAAAATTTGTAATTTAGTAAATCGAAAATTGAAAGCACAATGGGGACAACATTTCTTGATATTAATGTCAAAATTTGCTACAATAGTATGATATATTAATATTAATGGGCTCACCAGTGAATATAACTTCACGGTCCAGTTTTACCAGACCTATGTCGCTCGTGTAAGTGTCTGCATTATATTGGAAGTGCACTATACGATTGGTAACTCTGTACCGTTCCACTCCCCTGCGTTGCAATCTGTTGTACTCCCCCAAGTTCACGAACCTATGACAAGAAAGCCAATCTTCAACTGTTACAATTCATATTACTACCACCAACTTACAATGTTTTCTGTTCTATTAAGCAGTGCGCAGCTGTTAGGACGAAGCCTTGAAAAAAGTATCGTTAGTATCTGGCTTTAGCCCTTACGATTTCATACTCACGTTTGTGAACGAGCGTTCCACCACAAATAAATGCCGTGTTATTGTATATGCTTGCCATCCAAGAAGTTGTGAGTGGTCGAGAAAATGTAAAGACAAGTTCAGCCTGGCTATCACAGCTTTCATGCAGGAGCTGGGCCAATCCCTGGCGGCTCAGCACCAACGATAAGAAAGTCAGCAGCAGCTCGACAGACACCATTTCCAGCGAAAATATGCTACAGTACTGATTGTGGAATTAAATATTTAAAATAAGTATAAGGTGAGCAGAAGCCGAAGGAGAGGCCAGCTTATCAAAAAGTCTTTATTGCTTCAGTGTCTATTAAAAAACATTGAGTATCTCAACTTTCTGATACTCTTTACATTGTTAACAAATTAGAAATAAAGAAAGCGATTTGGTATCAGGAGACAGATACAACAAACCGTGTTCGACAGATAGTTTTTTTAAATGTGTATACAAGTTCATTTCATTTACATTGTTTTTAATTACGAGAGTTTACGATTTCAGCGATACGGATGTCGTATGGAGCCACGTTGTCAGCTACCCAATCCTTGTAGCTCATAGCGTTTGTGTAGACGGCAGCATTGAGATTACAAAACCGGCCACCATAACTCACGATCCCAAATAGAACGAAGCTAGTTTTTCCTCTGTAAATAAAGTCGGACGCAAGCGGACCGCCAGAGTCGCCAATGCAGGTGTCTCCAAAATCATTTCCGGCGCAAATTTGCTGATCGTTCGCGTCTGGAATGTTATAATTTTTGAGGCAATTTTTCGAGTTTTTCCGGGTCAATTTAATGGTCTGGAGCTTAGAGCTTTGCACATTTTGTAGCGTTGCCCCCCAGCCGAAGGCCCTAAATCTTTGGATCCGCTCGGCATGAACAGCTTCATCCAAAATAAAGCAAATCGGCCGTATGTGGTCTGGAGGCAGTAAAATAATGAATATATTAATGATTAGTGCTTTATAAGTGATATTAACTTACCATTGAACGTTACTTCAGTTTGCAGTTTCAGTAAGCCTATATCGTTCTCAAACCGACCTGATATATTAAATTGAGGATGGGGTATGGCCTCGATCACATCGTACTCTTTCAAGCCGCGGCACTTCCAAGCCGGACATGATCTGTCACTTTCCCCCATGCGCACCAGTCTAAGCCGGGTCATAAACTTTAATCATTATCTGGCCACTACAACTATGGTACTCACAATTTTTCCTGTCGCAGTGAACAGTGAGCCGCTGTTAAGACAAAGCCTAGAAGCAGTGAAACTTCTTAGCATGTGAATAATATCAAATCTTATTTTTACTTACGTTTGTGAATAAGCGATCCCCCGCAAATAAACTCGTTAGTATTATGACTTATATTATATAAGCTCGCCATCCAAGCAGTATCGAATGGCCGGGCGTTTGTGCCATTGACTATCTTTGGGCCAAAATCTGCATGCCCTTCACAGATCTCTTCCATGAGCTGCGCCAAACACTCATGGCAGAGCAGCAACGCGAAAAAAGCAAACGAAAGCAGTGCTGCCATCATTCTCAACTAAGAGAATCACTGATTTTTGAATTATTTAAATATAAAACCTCAAGGCAAAAAAGCACCGCCGAATTTTTATAGATTACGGCACACAAATTGCACTCTCTGATAGAGCATTACTATTTCGCGATGGTTTCTGCGTTAATCGGTAAATGATTCAAAAGCGTTTCCAACGCAGATTTGCCAATCGTTGACAGAACAACCTTCAGTGCAATTTGTTGAGTTCCGCCGGGTCAAAACGATGGTCAAAAGTTCATCGCTTGCCAATCTATTGTTGTTCGTTGTTCGCCAGCCGAGGGCCTTGAATCTTTGAATCTGCTCGCCTCTAATAGCGTCATCCAAAATAAAGCAAATCGGCCGGATGTTGTCTGCAGGCATACAAATGAAAAGAATATTGATTGAAACAAAAGTCGTGTAGTTTTTCTTCTGATATCATTTTATTTCATAAGACGAGACAGGCTTCTTTAAACTTTTATTGAGTTATATTTACATTGGTCGAGCCAAATACAGGAGACTAAAGATGCGGTAGTCGTGCATGGCCACGTTTCCAACTATCCAACCCTTGTAGCTCATGGCATTTGTATAGACACCATTGGAATTACAATGCTTGCTACCAGCGCTCACGATCCCAAAAAGAAAGAAGCTGGTTTTTCCCTTATAGGTAAAATCGGCGGCAAGCGGGCCGCCAGAGTCGCCATTGCAAGTGTCACCAAAAGTATTTCCGGCGCAGATTTGCCAATCGTTGATAACATACCCTTCAGTGCAATTTATGTAGCTCCGCCGGGTCAAAACGATGGTCTGAAGTTTATCGCTTGGAAGTCTACTGTTGTTCGTTGTTCCCCAACCGAAGGCCCTGAATCGTCGGATCCGCTCGACTCTAATAGCGTCATCCAAAATAAAGCAAATCGGCCGGATGTTGTCTGCAGGCATACAAATGAAAAGAATATTGAGTGAAACAAAAGTTTTATAAAATTGTATGTGCTTGGACAAACGCTTTTAAGTTGAATACGTCTTTATAAAACTTACCATTAAACGTAACTTGAGTGGCCAGTCGCAGAAGAGCTATGTCATGTTCAAAACTATTTCGATTATAATGGGGATGGGGTATAGTCTCGATCACATCGTACTCTTTCAAGCCGTGGCACCTTGAAGCAGGACACGATCTGTCACTTTCTCCCATGCGCACGAGTCTAAGCCGATATTAAAAATGTAGTCATTATGTAGCCATTTTCAGTATGGTACTTACATTTTTTCCTGTCCTTCTAAGCAGTGGGCTGCTGTTATGACGAAGTCTAGAAGCAGTGAATGTTTATATAAATGGTTCAAATCAAATCTTCTTGTTACTTACATTTGTGAATCAGGGACCCACCGCAAAAAAACTCGTTATTATTATTACTTATATTATATAAGCTTGCCATCCAAGCAGTATCAAATGGTCGGGCGTCAGTGCCATTGACTATCTTTGGTCCAAATTCAGCATGTCCCTCACAGATTTCCTCTAGGAGCTGGGCCAAACACACATGGCAGAACACCAAAGTGAAAACAGCAAACGAGAGCAATGCAGCCATCATTTCCAGCAAAGAGACGAAGAATGACTGAGTATGTACGCAAAAGGCACAGCAATTTTCTACTGATTACGGCATACAAATTTCACTCTGCGCCGTGCTTTCTATTAAAAACAATACCACCCAAATAACGATAAGTATATATAGCTAAGATGGTCAGCGCACTGTGATCTCATACAGACAAAAAAAATGTTTATAATATTTAAAAGCGATTTATTTAAGTTTATAATGACTGTTAATCATTGTACTTAAATATATACATATTATATAAAATGTAGATATCACAGGACTAAAACTTGTAAATTTCTAGGGAGAACATTGTAACTTCGTATTTCCCTTTAGAGTGGCGCTCCTGCCGGTAATTGTGTAAAGGTCGTATAGATGACGCTTTCTTTGGGACATGTTTTGGGACTTATGTAGAAACATTTGGAATACTATTTACTCTACATATTTTACCCCTTACAACATCTGAAGTTGATAGCCTTGCAGATGATTTTATAATTGAATAACGTTCTTGTTATGACTGAAGTAATAAGATCCTTGCAAGGGTATAAAAACGAAAGTCATAAAAAGGTCCGAAAATTTATTGCGCATACATATAACTCTAAAATTTTGTCCTTAAGAAAAACATACATAAAGGCATTTATAACTGCTTGCAGTGACGTTCTTGACTGTGTTTGACTTATATTATATTAATAACTTCTACATTTTTGCACGTTTTTGTTTAACCTCATCCACCTGATTGTTCGTTTGAATATTTGCTGTTCGCAATTGTCAACGAGAATTACCGTTGTGAGAGCCAAAGGACGAAAGGATGATGAGCCAAGTGTGCATGGCACGTGCCCATAAGGACATCGCGATAACAGGCGCAAACAATTTGACAATTTAATGTGGCGACAATTATCAAGCTGCAGGTCTTGAAATCGAAAACTCAGTCATTGCCTGAATCCGGAACTATAACCCAAGCTCCCGGCTCAGGATCGCACTGCAACTCGTGCTCGCTGACAACATTAGCAGCGCAGGTTGCGAGGCTATAATTATAATTCCATTACCGCGGAGCAACAGAAACAGGAACAGGAACAGGCACAGGCACAGGCACAACAACAACAACAGAACCCATTGGCAGGGTAAGGTGCTGCTGATCCCGTGCCGAGATCCTGTGTGCAAGTCAAAGACAATTGAGTGGCGTAATTGCCGAGCCGACAACTAATGATGGCCGGGGATAATGCGGGCCGTGCTAATGTGGCCAGAACGCGCCAAGTTGGCTGACGACGAGCAGGTGAATCGGGAAGAACTCCAAAATGCGGAAGTATGCGCATTTCGCCCGATTCGCAGCGCAGTGCATCCGATCCGATCCGCATTTGATGGAATGTCCGAAACGCGCATTTCCCTTCCCCGAAGAATTGGCAATTAGGATGCCGCTCCGCAGCTGCCCAGCTGCCCAGCTCAACTGCCTGAATCGCCTGAACCGACTGAAACCTCCTAAACTCATCCACCTAAACTCGCTTTTATGAGCCGCCAGGTGGGGTCGACGCGCATTCGGCGATAAGAATGTCATAACACAAGCTCCCAATTAACTGCGTCGCCCAGCGGAGGCGGAGAAGGAGCCGTGATTCGTAATTCGGGCCCCATCCGTCCGGGGGCTCATTTGCATCTCGCCATCAGCTCATCGGTCGGGGAGGAGTTCCATCTGCCTTCCAGCGGAGAGTGCCACTTCGACGGCCCAGCGGGTGATGGTGCGATGTCCCAGCTCGAGAGGAAGAATGGGATGGAGAACGAAAACCAACGATCCAGGACAGTGCTGCTGCAATTTTAGAGCCAATATTGGCTTTTGGGGGAAAGTTTAAAAAAGGTTGAAAAACTATGCTCAAACACAGTAAAGTAATTAAATCAGTGCACTCTATTGGAGTGGATCATCGGCAAAAAAAAATGTCAACAGATTTAGTTAAATAACCTTGTCAACTAATCAAATAAATAAATCACTTAAAATTATTAACATCCGGGAAGTATACTAATTTAAAAAAAATTCAACACTTCGAATCTGACCCAGTTATCAATTTCCCCTTGTGTGACTCAAATTGTTGTTCTTCTTAAATACAAATGTTTTTATTAAGTTTATTTTTGCTATAAAATGTATTCCTAATCTGGCATTGCTCCTCAAGATTATAAAACTGTTTAGGAATTTCCCTGATTTAACAGGCAGTTTAATGCGAATAAGTCTTCACAAATAATGTAAGCAAAATGTTAATTTAACTTGACATTGATTCACAACTTTAAAACAATTTTTATGAAATTCCTTGACCGATTATACAGACAGTTTTTTCCGTACACATCAGGGATATGTAAAGTTTTATAAAATCAAAGTCCTTATGACCTCTTACGGGTAGCTAAAAAGGCTAGATCTGGCTGCAAATTAGCTGAAGTGGCCACGCTGTTCAAGGAGAGCCGCGCAGGGAGTCGCAGAGATATCCATCAACGTGTGGCGTGTTTGGCTCCTGTAAGTTGTTAACTCGACTTTTATTGCCGCACAGTCGGTTGCTGGACCACCGAAGGGTCATTGGCTCATTGGCTCATTGGCGCATTGGCTTCGACTTGGCAACGATCGATCGCCTCGTTTGCGAAAGATCTCTTTCGAATTCGGCCGGTTCACACCCAGGGCCAGTCCATTTCCGCCCCTGCGGTCCCAATCAATGGCCACAATAAAGGTTAATTATGTAAATGTCACACAGCCACCGCTACTGTCCATCCATTTTCATTTCCATTTCCCACTCCCATTTCGATTCTCATTCCCATTCCCATTGCCATGACTATTCCGATTCCGAAACGCGCTCAAAACTCACAATTTAATGGTCTCGAAACGTTTCAATTTTTATTAGTTCACATTGGGTCCCAACCTGTTGTCGGGAGCGTTCTAAATGAGAACATAACTGCTTCTGTTGCCACCGCCAATTAACCCCTTCCTCCCCTGCCGTGTTGCCGCTTTTTACGGTTTAATTGTGCCCACGGCCAGAGACAAAACAGAGAAATCAATCTCGAAATGCGTTGACAAGTGAGGCCAAGACTCAGGTCCCTTCCCGTCCCGTCCCTTCCGAACTAAACGAAGAGCTGGCAGAGATTGCGAGGAGTAACCCCGCACCCTGAGGTGCAGTTAAGTGCACCTTTAGGAAATTAACCATAAAAAATTGCTTCATTTAACAAGGCAGTGCGGCACTAAAAACCAACCCAGACAATGTCCGAAGGCAAGGCAGAAGAAGCCAAATGCCAAAGGCGGCGAGAGAAAACCCAGAGTGGCGTTGGGTCACATCTCCAAAGTTTTCGGGGGCCAGAGGTTCTGGCCTAGAAAGCGGAAGCTCTGGACTTGACCCCCGGCTTTGAGCCATCAGGGGAAGGAAGTCTGTTTGCTGCGGAAGATGAGGCCTAATAAAAACTACACACAGTTTTGGGTAGAAGTTTCCATAGAAATTATTAGTTTACGGTAGATAAATAATAACTATAAAGCTTAAAAAATTAATAAAAGCTTCTTAATAATATTTCATAACCGAAATAAGTAAACAAGTTGAGAAGAAGTTTTAGGCTACTTTTATATTTGATCTTTCTAAAAAAAATACAGAAGTGGTATGCATTTTGTAATAGAAGAAATACATTTATTTTAAATAAATATACGAATTTAAGGTTCAAATTAATGAAAGTGTCCCACTTTCTCACTTGCGCAGGAGAATATACTCTTTAATAATACAAAATATGGACTTTTAATCATCTAATAAAACTGTAGAAGGACAAAGTAAAACTCTTTCTTTGCCTGATTTCTCCACCATCATAATCCATTGAGTTTATCCGTAATTGAATGCCATTAATTGCGGTGCATGCTGCTGTCAAGTCATCACAATTTCCATTACCATCCCCAGCGGCTGGGCAAATCCGCGATGCGACTCGACTTGATTCCATTCCCAGCTCGATGTCGCCGCAATGTCAAACATTTGGATCTGCTAATCGCGTAAAACATAACACCATTACCGCCATAAAATAAATTTTCTGCCATAATATCTGTCGCGCGGAAGGGCTTCGCATCGGCAAACGTCCACGACGACATCTTGTGTCCCATTCCGCGTCTGAATCAGCGTCCGCGTACTCGTCCGAGTCCAATTTCCAATGCCCCAACTGGATTTTGATTTATGCCGAAAACGCAGAGGCGAGCGGGCAAAAACCGAAAACACAAATCAAACGCAAACAGCGCGACGAAACATTGCAACAATCCATGCCCGAGATCGTCTCCGGCTTCTCCAGCACCTTCAGCTCGTCCAGCTTTGGCCACAGATCCCACAAATGCTGGCCAACAAGCTGGCCCGGATGGTCAGCAAAAAAGCCAGCCAAAAGCGAGCGCGAAGTCCAAACGCGAGCGGCGCGCGCGTTTTTTGCCGCGCCAAATGCGCCCAGCAAAAACGCGTCTCTCTGCCTCTGCCTCTGCTTCTGCCTCATTGATATTTCGAGCGCGAGCGTATAAAAATATTCTGTTGTGGCCGATCCCGAGATCCCGATCCCGATTCCAATTCCGATACTGATGCTGATTCTGATTCCAATCCTGGCCTGGCCTAAAAGTGTCGCCCGAGCGGGATCGTCGCTGCGATCAGCGATCAGCAGAAATCATCGTCATCGTCATCGTCATCATCATCGTCGATCCGGCGATCCAGAGCCCTTCGAATTTCGTTGACTGCACTGAGGAAAAAAGTATTCCCAGTTGATATTTTTTTTTATTTCAAAATCTCAATAATTTGAATTTATGATGTAATTTAATTAATTTAATATAGTTAAAACGATACATTTAACTTAAAAGTAAGGAGTGCCTTCACTGTAATGATTCCAAAATGTCTGAAGGAATATTACTGTTGTTAAAAATATAAAGACTTTATGTCAAGATTTCAAATTTAATTTTGTTTTAGACAGTTCAACTAGAATTCCTTAGAACTTAATAGAAATCTATTGTTATTACCGTGAATATAGCATAGATTTTGAAATGGTTTTAAATAACAGATTATTTTTATCAAAGTTAAAGCTTTACCTCCGAAAATAATAATGATAAAACTAAACAGATATAGGATAAATATTTGTTCGTTTCATTTAAAAAACCCTTAGAAGTAAATATAAATCTGTTAAGAAAAAGGTTTTGAATGCGTATAATGACATGTTCTGCCTTTAACCGATCAGATTAGTTTTGTTCATAATTAAAGCTTTATGTACAAAGAAAAGAATATTTTTTTTGTCTGTGCCCAGTTTTTGCGTGATGCTCCCGGTGGCTGTCAGTCATAGTCATGGCAGGGCATTCCAATCTGGCCATGATCAGGAGGCTTCTTGTGCCGATTCCCCGGCATATTCAGTTCAGTTCAGTTCAGCCGTCTCTGCATTCCTCGCCGTCAGTTTCCTTGCGCGCATCCTCAACGCCTTTTAGCATTGTTTATGAAGTGGAGTGGAGTGGAGTGGCAGCAAGGAGCGGTGATATTGGGCACTGCATTGGCCAGGATGCGGAATCGCGGCATTGGCATTGGCATTGGCCTGCACGTGATACAATTATGGCAGCGCTTTTTTCGCATCGCATATTTTTTGCCCGCTTTGCATAATTTAACTGCGCGCAATTGTCGCGGCAATTATTTTTAGCCCACTGATTTATTGTTGGCATATTCAGAGTAGCCCACTGGCAGTGGCAGTGGCACTGGTCTTGGGAAAGTTTCTCGCAACTTCACACCTTCGCCCAGGATGGCGATGCCCTGCTCCCCAGGCGGCATCAGCAGTAGCAGCAGCAGTAGCATCAGCTGCAGCAGTAGCCTTTCCACCTGCTTAAGAATTCCACTCACATTGCCTGCCGCCGCCACACCATGCCGATTGCCGATTCCCAATTCCAATGCCATTTTCGCACTTGCAGTGTCAGTTGGCAACCATTGTCGCCTTCAAACCGCCACTACCACTGCCTCCGCGGGCGATCGATAGTTATGGTCGTGTCAGACATCCTGTAATTTCGCCATACCCATGGCAAAAGCCCCTTCCTCCAGCGTGTTGGCAACTTGTTGACACTTCATTGGCGCGCAAGTTAATTAAGAGGGGAAGCTGAAGATACCGCCGACCACCGGCGGTGGAAAACACTTCATTTATCATCATTTAAATAGGTATCCCGATACGAATTACACGAATTTCAAAGCAGAAAATTGCACAAAATGTAACCTCTTTAAATGTCACTTTACTTTCAGATATTTGGCATATTTTTAACCCCTGTAAATTAAGGAACCATTTAAGTATTTTTCATCTTGAATAAAATTCAAACTGTTTCCCACCAACATAAAATGTATAATTTTAATGCTTATTTAAGAATTATACTAAAGGATTAATAAGTAACCTTACTTCCTTTAAAAAAAATTCAATTCTTGTTACTGTGTTTTTATTATTTTTATATCCCTTCGCTTGCTAAAAACAAAACTCTAAACTTACCCGTTTTAATAGTAGATTACCCATCCCTTGACCACAGATAATACCAAACACATCAGTTACTCAGCACAAATACTTGGGATGTTTATTTAAATATTTATATAATATTATCGCTCCTTTTCACCAAAACCAAAATCTATCATTTGAAATGTAACATATTTTAGCAAGGTATTACAACCCAGCAAATTGTTCATTTTATCAGAGATCCAGTTTTGGAGGGAAGATTGGAAGTTGGGATTGTGATATGTGAATTTCCACTAATTCCAATTCCTAATTTGATTGAAATAGTATTGGTTACAAGGGGCGTGTACGATTAAACTATGTTGCTATATATACACAGATCAGAACTGGGACAGTGGATTCAGTTAACCACCTCCACGCTGCAGTCCTCCTCCTCCTCCTGCTCCTCCTCTCCCTCGACGGGATCCTCGTCCTCCGGGACTTCCAGAGGAAGAGGGGTTGGACTGTCCTGGCTGCTTTCGCAGGAACTGCTGGACTCGAGGCACTCCAGACGATTGCTTTCAAGTCGAAGACGCTTCTCCGGCTTCTTAAGCAGTTCCTCGATGGAGTACGGGTTCCGCTTGCGACTGTGGCTTAGCCCCGATCCCGGTGAAGTCTCTGGAGCGGATGCGGCACCATTTCCGCCGCCGCCAGAAGAAGCGTTAGTTAGTGAGAGTGCCGCTGGCGAGGATTTGCCGGAATCGCAATCGCTAAGGGCATCGCCAGCGGCTCCAGGAGTCGATAGATCAATGGAGCTCTCCGACTTGGTGAAGCCACCCAGGGCCGAAGATGTGGAGGATGCTGCCGCCGCTGCCATGGCATGGGGCAAATAGCCGCCGGCATAGGGCAGGAACTGATGTCCACCCGAGGCCGCCTGAGCCTGGGCCTGAATGTGGGCTTGGGTGTAGTACAGCAGGGAGGGATTCCACAGCCAGTGCTTGTGCAGTGCGGAGTAACTTAGATCCAGGCCAGAAACATTTGGGTTTAGGCCGTGATTGTGATTGTGATTGTGGCCATGTTGCCCCATGCTGGGCGGCATTTTGGGAGCGGGTTTAATGGGCAACTCGCCGACGGAGCTCATCATCATCAACGCCGGCGGTTTCGCATAGCGTGCGGCGGAGGGCGTGGCTGCCGGAGTGGGCGGGGCCACGGTCACCGTCGTCGGAGGAGGAGGAGCCGAATGGGGGCCGCCATACCCGTTCGATGGACCGCTGCCACCCGCTTGATGAACCGCAGCCGCTGCCGCCGCCGCTGCTGCCGCATTTTGCTGACTGGAGGTCATCTCGTCCGTCCACAGACCACTGTTCCGCAGAATCCGGTTGATGGAGCTGATCGAGGGCACCGAGCTGGGATCGCAGACGCGCTGCTGCTGCAGCTGCTCGCGAATCTCCCACGCGAACATGCCGCTGTTCTCCTCCTTCAGCCGGATAATCTTCTTCACCACGGTGGGCGTGGCCACTTGCTAAAATGAACAAAAATACATTCGATTAAAATATCTAAAAGATAAAAAGAGCAGAAGAAGTTGCTTTTGTTTAATTAAATAAAAACAATTTATGAATTGCTGAAAACCATTGATCATTTCTGATTTTCAGTATGTTCGAGTTTCAGGTAAACAACGATTTTGTTTGTCATAATAATTTTAATTTCTTGTAATAACAATTCGGGTTAAAATTGAATACTCTTCTAATAAGATACTGTGAACATATTGTACTCCTAATGTGGGCAGTATAGAATTCGAAACGACTATATTATATAGCTCGCATTGGAACAATCGGAAAAACAAAGTGGAAAAAATAGCTACCTTTTTAAACTCAAGGCAAAAATATATTCTTAGTAAAGAAAAATCTTAGAGAATTTCCACCTTTCAGTATAAAAAACCATAACCATAACTATAAAATGTTAAAGCATTTTGCGTGACTACATATTCTTGACATTGTATTGCTAGATAAAATATCCGACACTTAACCCTGAGGCCTGCATGCTTTTAACCCTCTCACGCTCAGGTGTCTCTGGTTGCCCCCCTTTTTTGTGGCCTACGACTAATTGCCGTGAAATTCAATTGTGCACCAAACTAAACTAAACCAAAGCGCACTCGCCACAATTGCGAAAATGGACAGCGAACGCAGCCACGCCCCCTTTTCAGCTGTCATGTTCGCAGGGAGATTTGCATCGGAGCCACATAGGTGTTGTACCTGCTTTTGCATATGTTAATTTGTACGAGTAATACGAAGGACCTTCCTCCTTTTTTTGTTGGCTGGCGCCCGCTTTTCACGTGTGACGCGGCAGTTCATTAAAAATTCATAAATACGCTAAAGGGGGCTTTATTGATGGGGTTGGTGGGGGATTTGAGGGGCCAGCAGCAAGCTTGCATGCCAGATCTTATCGGCAATCTACACGCGCGCTCACTCTTTGTAAGCACTGTCCTTGCGCCCTCCGCCCCATATTTCCCATATATTTAAGGGGTAAAAGCGGCGGAGGGGGGTGAACTTCTTTATTGACCCAGCGTAGGTGTTAAATGCGCGTTTTGTTCGGGCGAGTGTACAGAGCGCTTATTGAATCACCATGTAAGCGGGTGGCTAACCGATGGGGTAGGCGGTTACCGCACCCCCTCTGCAACGGGCGGAGTGTCCGACTACATTGTGCACTTAAGGGGCGTTGCAACTACCGTTAATTAGGCGTTCTGTTCCGTCGGCAAACATCGCACCTGAGCATTTGTTTGCGCTGCCTAAGGGAAATCTAAATGTATAAAGGGTAGTTTCACGGATCGAAACTGGAAATACCCTTGCAGAATACGAAATAACTGTGAGAACCCTTCAAAAATAAATTCTTTCAAAATTTTCCAATTTTGTTTTAGTGAAAAGTCCTGGAAAAACGTTCATTTATCATATTTCTGCTTAAACTGCATTACCTATTCGTTTAGATTAATTCTATCGCTGCTTCTGTTGGAAATATGTAACATATGTGCGTGGATTACGAACGAAATATCTTTAAAATTATCGAAGCTTGGTCCGCTTAAACTTATCTTAATAATTGATAATAATATTGAGATTTAAATCAAACTTTGAACATATATTAAAGATTGAAGGGAAATCTTTTGAATTTTAGTCCGAGAAGTTTTGAATCTTCTTGACCTAATCCATAAACTGCAATTTGGAAATATAAAGGGAAACCTAAGCAAACTTCGAACAAACATCCAATACTCAAACGTTCTCAAACTTTTTTTGCGTCAAACTATTTCAAAGTTCAGAGGTTGGTTTTTGTTATATCTTGTGTCTGGTAAAATAATGTATTATGGGTGCAATTTGTTGTTCAATACCCTTCTGCAAAGCGTTAACTGCGGTGTGTATGGGTCGTGATTCGGTGTTATCGCGATTCCAAAGCCCACCACAATCACCACTATCATCGTGCCATTGTCGTCAGCTTTTGGGGCCGTGAAGCGAGCAGCGGCTTAAACGGTAGCAGCCACACTTGATTGGGCGTGCGAACTGCACAGGTGTCTCCGTTTACACATCCCTACATACAGCCAGCCAGGCAGGCTACCAGGCGGGTAGCCCACTTCCAGTTATCATCCTCGGCCAGGCGAGATTGATTTGCTGCGCTCTCTCCACTCGAACGACCACTCCCTTCCATCTCCCCCTCTCCATTCCGCCCACCTGCCACTCCCACGCGACCATAAAAGCTGTCATCGGAATAAAAGAACATGTAAACTAGCTGCTGGTTACAATGCTTATCTGGGCTATCTGTTTCCGTGTATCTGTGATACTTTATGGATTTACTGCTGTGCGTTTGATTTTTATATAATCGTTTGTTGATTTCATGCACCACAGTTGACCACATGTGGATTCCCGCCCCATCCCTCGTCCCCCGTCCCAGATCTTGTTTCCCAAACCCCATTCGAAATACACAGTTCCCTTTCGTAGCACACACTTACCTTGGTCTTGCTGCCGCCAATCGAACCCGGACGAATGGAGCCCGTCTCATAGAAACGAGTCAGTATCTTGGAAACACAGCCTGCCGAGAACAAAAATAAAATATATATATTAGCTAGAAGTTGAGAGTATAGTTTGGCGGTAAACTTACCGTGGGAGACCAGAAGTTGGCGGGATATATCACAGGGCCTCACTCCGCACAAAGCCAAATCCACGATCCGGCGACGAACGCAGTCCGGCAAAGGGCGGCCATTAACAAAAACGCCACCCAATTGGTTGACACCGGCTTGACCTTAAATAAGCAAAGAAAAATAAATACGATATTAAAATCTGATTTCTTAGTTTCTCGTTTTAAACTGATTGTATTTTGAATTTTGAAGAGTGATCTCTTTCACATACACTTGAAATATATGCATACTCAATCATTACGTTTAAGTCATGTTAATAAAATAAATAATTTTAGTAATGTTAAGTTGATTGATAAAAGTTTCCACCCAAAAGTATGTCTGTTTATTAAGAAAAGTATATTCAGCTTATAACTTTTTAACGACTGAAACACATTTAATAAGGAAATGAGGATTAAGTTACAATTCACCTAAGAAATCAATTGTAAGCCAAAGATTGCCAGACAAATATTTAGACTTTATGGTTGGGAGCACAAGTTCCTAAGCTTCCCAATAAAAGAAACAAAGCCGGGAAGATTTACAATATGCACACGCGTCTGGGCCAAGTGCCCCTAGTTTGGCAACCGCCCTGTTGACTTGGCTAATCTCTCTCAATTTGCCCAACTGGCGATCGTAAACGCAAGCGGCAAAAGTGCGCCAGTAATAACCGTGGGGCTCCATATGGGATGGGATCACGGGTGGGGTGGGGAAGTCGAAATAGGGGAATTAGGGGACTGGAGATCGCATCTGACGCTTTCGTTTAATTTCCTTTCGGAGTTCATTAGCGGCACTCACCTGTATGCGGCATGGCTGAAATGTGATCAACACAACAATTCAATTCAATCCAAAGCAATCCAATCCAAAGCAAACCAATCCAAACCAATCCGAAAGTGATTCGATACGATACGATCCGATTCGATCGGTAGTCGCTCGCAGTCGCTTAGCCTCCGTAAAGTATTTTGGTTTATTTGCTGATGGCTGTTTTGTTTCTTGTTTTTTGTCTTTCGTCCCGTTGCTGCTGCTTAGTTAATCGCTGAATTTTAATCAAATTTCAAGCAAGAACGTCATAAAAACGCTTTGATGGATGTCGTCGTGGTCGCCGGGCTATTAGGATGCTCAGTTTCAGACTCTTTGAGACTCTTGACTCGGCGAACAGATGGACGCTGGATTGTGGATGCTGGCGGCCCACTCCCCGAAGACTTTTTACGGCTTCCACGAAATCGGACGGCATCCAGGCCGGGCCAGAACCGATCCGATGATCCAAAACCGAACCGAGCTGAGCTCAGCCGAGTTGAGTTGTGTTGAGTTGAGGTGAACAGTGAAAATCTAGTAAGGAAAATACATAAAACTTAATTATTTTATAAAACTACGCGGCTGGGAGTTTAATGTGCAGTGGTTTATGTGCTCAATGGCCATGTCCAGTGACCGGTGACCAGTGCCAGGGAGTATCTCAAATTAGCTGCTTATCAGGCACATTCCCGGCGCAGCGTGAACTGCTGGCCCATTATCGAGAAGTTTCCCCTCCCCATCCCCCCTACCCTGCTCTACCCTACCATTCTGAGGCCAAACTATAGTGTATGCAAATGCCAGAGGTTTGGGATACACGGGGTAACAATTAAAATGAATTTTGGCCAATTGCTCATTTCGTTAAATATGCAACCGGCCAACGAGAGATATGCAAATGGGCTTTCAGCACCGCCGACTGGCGGCCGGTGGTTTCCGCTTCCTGTGTTTTCCCTTTATGCCTTGTTTTTTGGCCAGGATTTGGGCCTGTCGCCAGCCTGTCAGAGGCATGAAAACGCGCTGAAGAACCGTATAAATCAAAAGCTGTAACTGGCTGGCGGTCAGCGGTCCACACTTTGTCATGGCCATGTTATTATGGAATTCACATTAGATTTAATTGCCGAGCCCGGAGTCCTTTGCCCCCTTTTCCAGTTCCCTGCCACTTTTCAGCTCATAAATCCGGTGAAATGCGCGTGTTAAGCCACCGAACCACCGCACGCACCACATACTCCCCCCTAGAAAAAGAAAAAATAAACCGAACAGAACGAGAAATCCGAAAAGAACTCGAAATTAAGTTGTTCATTAGGTTTTTTGACTCTCCTCAGTCTCGTGTTATTTTTTTTTTCGTGTTGGTAACCTTACCTTACCGCTTACTGCGAACGGGAAACTCGTGCTGGCCGTTAAGGCCATAAAGTTCGCAGTTGGCCCGGGGCCAAACTTTGGTCGACTGCGCGATAAGGATTCCATTCCAATGGTTTTTTGTAGAAAGTGAAATAGACATTCCGGCCAAATCCAATTTGGCAGCGATGAAAGGGTTAATTTCCCCGCTGGCGTGCTGCTCACCCATTTCGCTGGAATGTTTTTGGCCCAATCGAGGCCACTGAGCAGTCAAAATTAAATAGTTCCGGACAAGTGCCAACGCCACCCCTAGAAATTGGCTACGAATGAATACGCCCAATCAAGTTTTTGGAGGTTCATCGCGGAAACAAGTAATATGGTTAAAAGAGCTGGAATCCTATGCTAAAACAGCTGGAATTTATGGGATTTCTTCATAAAACAAAACGGTAAGGAAATCTTCCCGTAGTGATCCTATGGTACTTAAACTAAAACATATAAAACCCCCTTTGTTTTACGTATACATTATAAAATGTGAATGCGTAGCAGAGAGATTTTTTTCCAGAGCTTATACTGCTAAAAGTTTAATTATAAAAATGATCTTTAGGCTTAACTACGAGCTATATATAGAAATTTGGCTGATCCCGGTTTTAAGAGGCGGATTTGCTACCGATTTCTCCTCAGACTTCCACTCGTAAGTCTCAATTAGCTTCGTGCACATGTCAAGCGGAACAGGCATAAAAAGCGATAGAAATTAGTTAAACATACAATAACTTAAATTCGTGCGATTACCGAAAGTGGAACGGACAGGTTGGTCGAGCTTCTGTTTCGGATCTGATCCCTCTCCCTTTTCGTATTTTTCGATGCCCCCCGCGGATCAATGGACCGATCGATCGATTGCCAACCGAGGCGATCGTCGGATCCCCACAGCCCCAGATCCCCAGATGGAAGCGGGGCATTAACAGCCGCTAATTAAAATAAAAAAATTATAATAAAACGTACGCTTCACCATTTGAATATGATTAGAGTCCGCTTTTTCTGGACCACGCTTAAGTAAGTTGTTCGGTCGGCTCGTTGGCTTAGAAAGCTTCCAAATCAATGAGCCATAATGGCAGCCAGAGGAGACGACGGCATGACAAAGAATTAATTAGCATACGATTTTTGACTTTTGTCGCTCGCGCCGGACTCGTGGGAAAACTGAAATTTGTCCGAGCGGCAGTCATCGATCTGCCAAATGATCGCGTTTGGTCCAAACCATATGACTTATCTCGGTCCGGCGGAAGTTCAATTGGCGGTAGTTTTGCAATGCAAATTCGTGGTGCTTGGAGTCATCCGGTGGCATCTTCCACTTCATTCACAATACTGGACTTGGTGGACAAACAAATCTTGTGCGAAACTAACGCCGCCGCTTGAATGGCGTTCCGTTCCGTTTCGATCCGTTAGATCAGATCGTCGTTCATTAAGAAATAAGCCGATCGACCAAAAAGGGACGGAGGGGTCGGACTCGAGACTTGAGACTTGAGACCGATGTGTCGAACACGATAAGCAAATATCGTTATTAAAGCCTTTCAAAAAACGCCGCAACCTGCTCGCCAGCGACTCGATTTAATGATTTAGTTGTTGAGAAAGCAAATTATGCGCAAACAAATTGATTACGATCGTTTATGGTGGTCATTATGGGCAGGTCGATCGATGCGGCCAGGTCTTAATTAAGTCGCCGATAAGTCATCGTCGTTAGCTTTTGTCAAGTGTTGGAATAACACCGAGGTTTCGGGCTTCAATGCTTGTTAAAATATGTCTGCACTCGATAAGCAAAGTGTGTTCTTTTAACCAAGTTCAAGTGCAGCGATTGCATTTTAGTTTATCTAGTATTGAACAAATTGATAACACATCTGGCGGAAAATCCCTTTACATATTGTCTAAAAGCGTTTCCAATATACTTAAACGAAAGTCACTACAGTTAAAGCAAGTACAAGCTAAAATAAATTTAGAAAAAAACCAATAGATTTATAATCAACTGAATGCTTTCTTTATAATGTGCATTTTATATTGATTTAAAATAAAAATTTTATTCAAGATAAACCAATTTTAAGGGTCTTATAATTAGATTAGAATTTTTTAGTTCGATTAAGGTTTATATGATTGCAATCCCCAATTCATCACAACTAGTTGAATTTCTTTGAGAAACAAAGTGCACATTTTGTAGGAAACTAATTTTTTTGTATAAAATGACACTTGATAATTATAATTTTATTCCTATTAAGTTAAATATAAATAATTTCTTTTGTGTTCAGAATTATTCTTGCAATTCTTTTAAATAAAATCCCGTCATTTATTTTTCACTAAGTTTGAGTTCTAAACGCCTTCTCACCTCAATCTTTCAGCACTGGATTCGCCCAGTGAACGCCGGCTATCCACAAAGTTGGCAACAACTGGATCCTTTGAGCACTTGAGCACAACACTTTCCGCTGGAGTTTTTTTTTAGTATGCACAGTGGGCTTATTCCGCGGATATTGACCGATTACTCAGTTCAGAGGCGCGACGGCTTGTGAATCTTATTTGCTTTTTAGGTTTTTTTTTTGGAGTTTGAGACGCGCGACGCACCTTGTCACTCGACCGTCAAAAATTCGACTAACTGCACGCGAATCGCGGGGCCGGCGCATCGATTCGATCAATTTGGTGGAAGTTGAAGTGGAGTTGGCTTCGTGCCTCGCCCGCGGTCCATCAGCCAACGATTTCTACTGAGGCGCCGCCAACGAGCAGAGCGGTCCAAAGCCACCGCTCACTCACACACCCGCTCTTTGGGTCCGCACACACTGGCATTCGCCTTCACGGGCTCACGGACGAACCGTTTTTCTGGTGTAACCGGTTTTTCACGGCTGCGACGTTTGCGGCAGTTCCAGCCCCATTTGGCCCATCGCCGGCCAATCAGCGAGCAGCTCCGGTGCGCATGCGTCGCCCGTTGCGCCGACTAAGCGCTGCCATTGGCCAGAAGCAGGAGAAGTGGCGGGGGCAAGGTGTCGCGTCCTCCGGGAGCGAAATCGACACCGGCACAGTGGGTCAAGTGTGCAGAGGCTAGTGGGTTAGGTATATGGCCAACCGGATTTCAACAGCTTAAAAAACATAAAACATATAAAGCATACTGTATTGACTCACTGCAAACTGTGCTTATCGTGAATAGTGTTTTAATGGGCGAGTCTCCAAAAAGCGAATAAGATATACGGGATCAACATTTCCTAAGATGTTTTATGAACTTTTCTTCTAAGCGCTTACCTTTTTTGGTAATTTATTTCCTTTTTTAAAAACTAAACCAAGGCGACGATGGGAAGGAGTTCTACAGAATCTTTATATTCTATTTCTTATTGAAATTAATTTGTGTTTACAAACAAAACTTACACTTTTAAAGACTTCACATATTTTTGTTGTTAACAAAAACATACCATAATTAATTGGTTGTTCTTCTAAAAAGACATTAAAGATCTTACAATAAATAATTTCCAACGTATCGGGCTAAGTTAGTTAGCTAGTTCAACGCTGTTGATCTAGATTGGCTACCTGGAGAAACGTTGCAGCCGTTGTGGGCTTTTTACCCCAAAGTTAGCTTTTATGGTTTGTATTTTTTTGTGAGGCTTGTCCCACCGCTTTCGTCCCACGGTGCGGATGCATGACGTCCGTGCTGTGCCGCCCGCCCTCGCTCACTGAACGCTTTAGGGGTAGTCGCCACTCATCGATGGTCGATGAGCTCTGGGCAGAGAGCGTTGCGGCAGAGCGTAGCCTTAGCCGTAGCCGTTTCCACAGCCGTTGCGTTGCCGTTGCCGTTGCCGTTGCAGCCGCGTTCCGGCCAATCGGCGGAGGCAACGCAGCACGCAAACGCTCACTCTCAGTCTAAGCCACTATATGTGTATGCAGTGGATGCCGTCCACGTCGGCATTGTGACACTGGCATAGCCGTTACCCTGGCGAAACAGCCACAGCTACGGCCACAGCTACGGCTCGTCCTTGCCTGTTCCACCCACTACTGAAACTGAAAACTCCCTGGGGAAGGTGGTGGTGGAGTGGATAAGGTGGGGACTGGTGGGTGGGTGGTGGCGTTAAGTAACGCTCGGTGGTGTCGCAGGCGTTAATTGAATTCGACAATTGTCGCTCGGCATTCACAATTGGAGAATGAACTTCCACTGCGACGGCGGCTGGCGCTGAAAGATAAAACTGTCATATTGTTTGTGATGGTTGTGTGGGAGGAGAACGGAAATATTGATCCATTCGAGGGACAGGACACACGATGAATGGGAATTAGTTTCCATGACTAGAAAATCAATGGCCCCGAGTGCTAAAGGGGCTCCTGTTCTTAGACTGGCTACAAAGCTTACCCCTTTCTGTAGCCGCGTGGCGCATGCAAATCCACTCCACTTGCCACCAAAAACCACAAAAACCTGTGCGAAAACATGCAAAATTCTTAGGCCCATTCAGCGTGGATTTGCCATGGCTGGGAGGATGGCGAAAGCTCTTCGCTGGAACTTCTGCTGGCCAGAGATAAAACTGTCACAAAGGCCTGGGGTTACCAGTTACCAGTAACCAGTAACCATTTGCCGTTTGCCATTTACCAGCTGCCTCCGACTTTTCCCAGGCAACCAAGCGCGGCGTAATAAGATCAAGCGAGTCAGCCGTGCGTGGTGGCATCAGCACACACCTCTCTGTCAGTCGTCTCTGTTTGGCCCAGGATCCTTTGGTCTTTTGGTCCTTCTGTCCTTGGTCCTCTGGCCCACCCAGCTCGCCACGCCCAACGCCCAGCGAGCTTGTTCGACGCCCAACCCAACCCCTCCCCTCCCCACCCCTCTCCGCCCCGAGAACTTCAACGTGTGTCTTGCTCTATCTGACAAGGCGATTATGCGACCAAAAGCCTTTCAAGTGGCAGCAATTACCCAAACCATGGCCCGAGCCCAAAAAGCCAACTACGCCCCAATTAAGGGCGGCACACACACAAATCTGTGTGGGAAGTGCGTTTAGCTGGGCAGAAAAAAAAGGAAAGACCATGACAGCACCGAACAGGAGACACCCTTATTTGGCAATTAAAAGTTATAAATAAAATTTAAATTAAATTAAAACTTTTGAACAGAACAGTAATTGTAAGATTTATAATAACACTCTCTTTTGAAAATGATTTTGGGTATTATATCAGCGAACAGAATCTTCCCTTTTTGGGATTTACGAAGTATAAACTTTAATATAATATAATAGGTATGTTCGATTTATGATAATTAACACCCCATTTTGGGATGCACTTGACTAGTTCTGTACCATTTTATCCAAAATGGTTTTCTAAACCAAGAAATCAACGTAAAACCAGTAAAATTATGCAAACATCTTAAAAATTAAGATGCAAACTCATTTTTACTATTCATAGAAACAGTGTCTGCATTTTCTTAACTCTTACCCAGAATTGTTATATTAAATGTTGAGTTTCCTAACATTAGTTATTTCTACATTTTCTATTAAACAGTGTACTCTTGCTTTGGATAACTACAAACCCCTTGACACTTTCATCATACCCTTCCAGCAAGGGCATTCAAATGAGCAACGGAAGTGGGTTTGCTCCGGTTTTTATTAGGCGGGTGTGCAGGGGTTGTGCACAGTGCACCTCCGGCGAGGCAAAAAACGAGCTGTAATGAAAAGGGGCGGGACAATCGGCTTAACTTCTTCCGATTGACTTGGCTTACCACGCGCCCAAATGCGATCGCAATCGCAGAACTTACACTCGCTTATATTGTAATTGAAATGGAATCCAGTTCGGATCGGGGTGTGATTTGGTCTGGTTTTTTTGGGGAAAGGGCAGAAGACGGACTGACACCCACATCAACTTTTTGCCTAATCGAATTATGCCGAAATCATCCAGCCAAGGGCGAGGAATTCCACGATGCGTGCCACCAACTCATTAGGCTGGATGGCGAAAAAACCCAGTAAAACAGAAGCTGCTCCCGATTTAGGATCTGTATTTTTGGGCGGCTCGTGCCTGGAGCACAGTCTGCGGAAATGACTCCGGGGCAGAGTCTAGATTTCATGGTCATTAATGAGCGGTGTCCGCAGGAATGCGCCTGGGAATCGAGCAAAAACTCGGTCTTCGTTTGGCGTGGGCGCCCTTCTAATCTGAAATTAGTTGCCCCAAAGACCTGCGGCAAATTAGCTGTAGTTTCTTGTTTTTTTTCGCATGCTTTCGAGGAGGAGCGAAAAAAAACAGAGCCTGGTATGGAATACATTTTCTAATTGCAGGGGCGGCCTAATTGAGGGTTCGCTTCGGGGCCCCCGTTCCTTGCAATCAGCAGATGCAAGCCGAAAGAGTCCCGAAATTGTTGTCCGAAAGCAGAGGGACAAAAAGATATTTATATATAAGGACAAAGGCGATTATTTCGGTGTGTGTGCGGGTCGCCAAATTGGCGCAGGTTACGCATGTGCCTCAAATCATGAGCATTGCCAGTGCCACGCGATGATGGATGCAGTCAGGCAGGTTGCATTACAGCCTCGCCTCCTTATTCCTCATACCCGATTCCGATCCTCGATTCTCGATCCTGTTGCACCTTGCTTTAAGAACGCGCGTGGCCCAAAGCGGACCGAACAATCGGGCAATTTCGTAAACAGTTGCCGACAAACGATAAGATAAAATGATCTAAGGATCATGTACCTTTTCTAGGAGTTGCACAACTAGCCGTAATTCTCTCCCACTCCAAAACAAAAGGAAAAAGACTTGTAGGTGGACAAAGGACACGCGATTTTCGAGTGCCATAAAAACAAAAATTGGGTGACTGGCATGTCAGAGCCAATTAATAAAAACGCAATTTCCACAAATCGAAATTTTTATAGAGTTTACAGGGTTTTATTGATCCCAACTAGAGCAGGACATTCCACACCTGCAGAACATTTGGATTGGGCGGGCCGATAAGCAAAATGAGCAATTACGGGAGGAACTCGGACAGGACATTGCTGGCGGCTCTGGAATTGTAACATTTTCTCACATTAAGGGACGGGTCCTGCGAGTCCTGCGCTCCACTGAACCCTGACACACTTGCAAAATGGCCGCTCCGAAAGGAGGAAACAGAGAGAGTTTGTCTCCTCGGGGAAAGAAAGAAAGAAAGCCACCAAGTAAGGGTGAGTCCTGGCCCAAAAAGTTTGCGTGCAAGATGAGACAGCGGAAGGACGAGAACCTTTGCTTGCGATAAATTAAATGTCTGACATAATTATGGCTAAATTGAAAAGGCAAGAAGAAGACGTCCAAGGGGCTGGCCGGCAAATAGAGGAGGGTAGGAGACATGGCACTTAAAGGACTCAGGACATTTACTGTGCCATAAAAACAGAAATTATTTGATCAAACACAATAAACACGCCAGCGACAAAGGCAAACAGCGAAGCTCGAACCGCTGACAGGCTAATGATAGGATGTGCCAAAGGACATACAGATTATAGATTGAGCCCCTATAATCGATGCGGGAACAGGGTGCACCAATTTTCGCTTAATTGAGATCCCAGGACTTCCAAAGCTTATTGAACCCGAACCCTTTGAAGCCTTTTTGTCTTTTTAAAAGAAGAAAACTTTAAAAGAGCCACGCTACTCCTTAGTTTAAACCATACAAATGGAAATTCATAATCTAATTAAATACGGTTAAAATGTTCGAACTTTTACTTTTATTTTATTTAGTATGCTTCACTCAATCTATTATATTTACCCATATATTAAATTAAAGTAAGTTAGAAGAGAAATTCGAAGTAAATATGAGTGGCTTAGTGCAATATAATAATATACAAGTACAAATACTGAAACTCTTAAAGTGCTAGCCCGTACAGCTGCTGCAACTCCTTAATCTCATCTCTTCCACTTGTGTGTGACTGTAATTATGGTTTTTATGGCTCGCAACGCCTCTGGAAATCGGCCAGCACACAAAGAATCCAAATCAATTATACGCTTGTCTAGGCCATCGAGCTTCCTTTTCCTCTGCAAGAGAGTTTGTAGGATGCCCAGTTCCCATATCCCAAGTACCAGGCCAGCAAAAGTGTTAAAGTAACCATAAAACTTTGGCACTTCGAATCCGATGCCATTGCCGATGCTGCTTCTACTGCTGGTGCTGCTGGTGCTGCATCGTAATCGTAAAACGCGGAAAGCGTTTGCGTCCGCCGCTCTGCCTGCTAAATGCAATATTTTTACGACCCAGCCCAGTCAATCCCAGTGAGATTCATTGAAGTCCGAGTTGGAGTTCGAGTCGCATTCGCATTCGCAGTGTCAGTGGCAGTGGCAGTGGCAACCGCCAGGGCAAGTGAAAACCCAGGATGATCATCCAGTTCGTTGGCCCCTTCGGCGGTGGTCGTTTTCGCTGGCTGTGGATACTGTGGATAACTCGGATGGCGAGGAGCAAAAGTCAAATACGGTAGCTCGACTAATTGAAAAATTAAAGTCTTGCCAAAGTACTTACACTGGGCAGCAGCAGTTGAGGTGGAAACGCCCACCGCCCATTGCCCATCGCCCATTCGTTCATAAATCTTTCGGCATTCCTTCGTTCATCTCATCGCTCCTTCTATTTCCACTTTTTGAGGGGGTAACGTAGAGCTAGGTGACTAGTTGGCCTTTGGACTTGGCTAGATCGCATCTCAGCCCTTCGAACTTTCTCCTCTCAAGGTGTTCAGTTCAACACAAATCCCTTTTGCTAATGTGGCAGTCTGCACACCTTGGCAGACACTTTAAAAAGCGGGGCCAAACCTTCGGGCTGCCACTGCGATTATCGGATCGAAGGTAAACACAGGTTCTGGCCAAGACCCTCTTTTTCCCTCCCTCCAAGTGCCGAATTTGTAATGCTGCCAAAAATCACTTCTGGTTTTTGCCCACCTCGCTGATCGATGTGCAATGTGCGATGATCGGTTTCTGGAGTGCGTATATTTAATACCAGGTACAGGCCGTCCAAATGGGTATATAACGTTTTTTTTGAGTTATGATACAGCCTGGAAAAATTGCCATAAATTATGGCTTTCTAAATATTTCTGTATATGTTAGTTTAAAGACATAAGTTATAAATCAATCAGTTTATTTTATTTCCGTCAGTTTAAAAAGACTTAATGCCACAATATAGTAATCGGTAATTTGTTCAGCTAATAAAACAACAATTTTCTATGTTATCTCAATAAATATTTTGCAAAACTAAATTTGCAGAGGTGCCATAAATATAGTGTGAACTTTAAAATGTTAGTGTTGTAAAAATAAAACAGTACCCCTTAGATTATTTTGTAATATAAACATACATTTCTCGAAACAATCTCAACTTATATCTTAGAGAATGTATTGCACTAAAAATTCAAAAATTTGTTATTCAGCATTGTGCATTTAAAGTGTTAAATATAAACAAATAACAAATTACTCAATTTGAAAAAAAACCATAGGAACACATAATTTATAAGAAAGATGTAGTTTTCCACCAGGTATTTTAAAGTCTGTATTTCAATTCTTAGTGTTTCTCGCAAGTTGCAGCTGCAGATCCAGCCAACCTCAGATCGAAGCCTCGATCCCCTTTTGGCGTACTTGTAATTTGCTGACGAGCTCGATCCTCAAGGTGTGCAATCAGCCCGGGCGATCAGGCGAAGGGTTAGTCCTTAATGCTCCCATTGGATCCACGATAAAAGTGCAGTGCTGTTAAAAATTATAACTACATTAAGTGCAGCAACAAATTGCAGACACTTGGGGCGTTTTAACAATGTCATTTACGAGGGGGGAGAAAAGAGGGTGGTCTGTAAGGGGTAGATCCCAAGACCCACCCAGGACCCTGAAACAGAACAGGACCATAAATTACCCGTTTAATGGACTCCGATGCATTGTCACTGCGAACAAAGCGCTACAAAGCGGTTGCAGTCATAGTTGTGGTGTTGATTTTCTAATTTATTGCCTTATAAACATAATCAAATTCGAATCAAAACAAAACAAAGGGGCCACCCCTAACCCAAAACACGCGTCGTGCTGAGTTCGGTGAGGATAATGATGACAGATCCGAGGAGCAGGCAATGGGAAGATCGTCAAGGATGCTGAGGATGATCATCCCACCCCGATGCGGTTTACGCATCGTTGAATAGCCGAATACCCCGAAAACCGCACAGATTGCTTTCTGTTCGAGTTACGCATATGTCACCTCTGCCGATTGTCCGTTTCCTTATTGGCACAGCAATTGTTACGTGCCATTAACTGTCTTCTTGTCGAGAGCCGTTGACATTTCTATCCGCCGTGCGGTAATTGATGCGTCCAAGTGCGAAATTCACGGCAGGTGTTGCTCGGATTACCAGGATGGATGGGGTTTGAGTTTGGCGAGGAGGTAGAACCGCGCGCACCGTCAGCGGAAACTTTAATGTTCGCACATTTGCAGCTCATCAATTTTCGGCATTATCCCGTCCAGCATCAGTTCATTCAACCTCATGCTCTGGTCCATGTTAGCGCCGTCTTGTTGACTTAATCGCCCCAAAACAATTTGTCCGTTTTTCGGCTGCTCCGCTTCTGGACATGGCCTAAACGCTTGTCGCCTAATGACGGGGCAGCTCCAACTGGCGGCGGATGCACTTCGAGCCCATCGTGGTCTTGGTCCTGGTTAAGGAGCTACCTGCCTGGTGCCTGGTGACTGGTGCCCGCTGCCCACCGCATTATTAAGCCATAAAATTGAAAACTTATTATAATTACATAAACGTACGCCTCGACGCCTGAAGCAAAACCACGTGATGCACCGAGAAAAAAGTTCACGAAAAAGCCAAACTGACAAGTCAATGAAAATAACCTTTTGGTCCGTATGTCAACTTAAAACCGACTTTTCGGTTTTAAAAGAGAAACTCAATGGAAATGCTCAACAACGATTAGAATAATAAACTAGATATAATAATAAAATCAGAATATTCTAAAATGTATTTTAAATGGTTTGAAGATTTTATATATCTTATAGATATTTGTTGTGGATAAATATTAATAATGTTATTTTATTAATTTTAGATATTTATTTTACTCTTTTCTTTACTAATGTGATAGTTTAATAGGTGACTAAAATAGGATTTTAAATCTATTGAGTCAGCTTTGAATCTATTTACGAAGTTATATACTATTCCTCTAAGTGTTGAGATGTGGATCGTTTAAAGGGGACGTAGGGATGCCTGGGCAGAATGCGCTTTTAACGCGCTTCTTTGCAGGGAGTTCGATTTTCGAGGCACACGCATCTTGAAGAGTCTGCCGAAACTCTTGCTCGTTAACGACCAAAGCAGAACAGATTTTTCCTCCATTTTTTCGATGCCCGTGGCAAAATGTGGGGCTGAGTTTTCGGCCCGGCTCTGAAACAGGCTGACCGGCAGCGATCGCACATTATCGACATTACCATTAACATTAACATTACCATAAAGCAAAACGGCACTGCACTTAATTGCTGGCAATTGCATCTGCTACGCTATCATTGAATACCACTCAACGCTGAAGAAAAATTTCATTTAGACCCCACACGCTGACAGAGTACTAAAATGGTTTATTAAAAGTATACATTAATTATTGAAGTTAAGTATAAAAAAAAAGACTCGGAAACTTTGTGTTCAAGCAGGAACATTGAGTTAAAAGAATAGAAATAAACGAATAAAGAATGTAAATTTAAACAAGGGGTATAGTATAATATTTATAAATTTGGATCTTAAAGAAATGATTAAAACAAACGTTTGCGTTGGTAAAAAAAAGGAATTTAAAAAATTGTATACACTTTTGGAGACTTAGAAAATAAAAACAAAAACAAAAAGCTATTATTTTTTTTTGGTTTTTTTGGGCAATTCATATTTTGAACATTATTTCCCAGAACTAGCTTAGGCCAACATTTTTATACAATTTCTCCTGATTTAACCCGTAACAAAAATGAGCTACAACATTAAGTACGGTCTGGTTTTAACTGCTTACTTACTCGTAATTACTTTCGTAAAGCTTTTCTTCAGACAATTAAATATTCCATTCGGTTTGCATCTGTATTAAACGGACGCGAATACCGAAGTTTGCATTTTAGCTTACTTTTAATAATGCAATCGGAATGAAACTTTCGGATACGCTCTACATTCTCCCAATATCCATAAGGTGATACTAATTCTCTTTCTCTTCGATCACAAAACGAATGACGTTGGCCACGAACTTGAATTTCAAAGAGAACGAATGTAGAGCAACATTCTGATTAAGTTCCGTGAATGATTGAGAGGTTAGATCGAGGTAAAATAGGTGAGCGTGCCACTAATTTAAGTGAGAATACCAGGGTTCTTAAAAGTAAGTTAGATTGTGTTCTGTGAGCAGGTAGGAATTTACTAGAGAATCTTATCAGTAAGAGGATTGGTTGACTTAATCTACTTGATTCCACGCTGCTCACATTAGGTAAACAAAGTATAGGTACTCAATATTGTTGTTAAAAAACAACAAACTTGATATGGATTACTCAACAGGTAATACAAGTTTAGTTTTAGAGAATTTAAACTATATGGTAAAATTTTATTTCAAACTTAATTTTTGATTTATATCTGTACAAACTGCTTACATTTGCTTTAAACAGAAAAGTCTTTCCAGATTATACTATTTTTATTGAATATGTTTACATACTTATAACTAAGATTGAAACAACAAACTTTATAGTTTCCTCAGAGTTTATTCGTACTTAAGGTATTTTTATCTAGTATGAATAAATGAGTTGTCATTGCTTCCATTTTTGTTAAATTGTTTTTATTGCTATTTTTAACATGCTTCTGACCAAGATTAAAAAACAAACTTATAGTTCTTAAGATTTATTTTTCTAGTCCTGTCAGGATTTTTGTTAAATTGTTTTTATTTTTGTCTTGCTGCCTTTGTTGTTATTGTCTATCACAGTACTAAGCACTCGATGGGATCTACTTAAGTAAATTATGTCTCTCCCTAAAATGCGCATCTGCCGAAGAAGATTATTCCTCAGGCTTTGGGACAAATACCTCCTTCATTTCGACCTCAGCCTCGCTCTGAGGCTTACGACTCCGTCCAGAGCGGAACTGCTCCTCGATCTCCAGGAGCGTGCGACGACGGGTTTCGGGTAGAGCCCAGTAAATGAAGATCAGGGCCAGCACAGACATGACCGCGAAGAAGTTGAAGCACGTAGACAATCCCCAATCTGCCTTGACATTGGGATAGGTTTTGAGGACCACGAACGAGATGAACATGCCCACGGCCACCGTGAGTCCCGAAGCTGGACCCCTAACCCTTTGCGGGAAGAGCTCGGAGATCATGAAGAAGGGCAGAGTGTACAGGCCCAGAGTGCTCAGCACAATGAAGCCCACAATGGCCACCACCGGTAGGTACTGAATTTGCTGAAAGCACAGAATTCGGCTGTGTCCGGCCAAAAGGAACATGCAGATGGACATGCCCAAGGTCGAGATAATACCCGCCCTACGGCGACCCCACAACTCGAGGACAAGTCCCATCGGACAGGTTGTGATCAGGCGGGCCAAGCCAATGAGCAAGGCACACATGAATGGATCTATTTCGATGCCCGCCTCCCAGGAAATTTGCGCTGCGAACACAATGACCACAAAGATGCCCGTGAGCTGCTGGAAGGCAAACAAAGTCATCAGGATGACCAGTGGCTTGTAGACCTCCGGTTGCGAAAGACTTCGCCAGAAGGACTCCTTCAACTCGGCATCCCGCTTTTGCAGCGATTTCTGCAGAGTCTGGAACTCCTCCAGCACCTGGGGATGGGTGATTTCATCTGTGGGAAAAATTCGACTTTAATTTAATTTACAACACTTAGGTACAAGCTATTTCATCAGACTAATCAATTTAAAATCGTAGCGAAAAGAATAGCACTAGCGTTGCGGGGAGCTTTTTATTTTTAAATGCAAAGCAAAAAGATAAGCGTGAATAGGTTATCACCATTTAATTGCTTGACTTGATACAAGGCGCCACTTGACTTTGATTTGTTTGCGGTCATAAAAAAATTATACTTCTGATATGGAGCGATTTACGTAGAAATATATATTCCTTATAGTTTGCTCTCGGAAGGTCAAGAAGCTCAAAGCCACTTAATCAGGAATGAGGTGACAACTTACCCGACTTATCGAAACCTCGGAAGTAGTTGAGAGATCGTTTGGCCTCCGTCACCCGCTTTTTGGCCAGCAACCAGCAGTGACTTTCGGGGAGTGGAAGGACGCAGAGCAGGGCCACCAACTGGTAGCCACAGCAGATCAGGGCAATCAGTCGGAAGTCGTCGCGGATACAGTAGCCGATGCCGTAGAGGATTGTGATGCCACCGGCCACTGAAATGGATGTTCCCAGGATCAGACTACCCCTCGTCTTGGGCACACTGATTTCGGCAGCATAAACTCCTGGCGGGGCACTGGCCAAACCCATGCCAATTCCTGAAAACATCGAAAATATTCACTAAATTGGCCAGAGTATTTGAAATTGAATACTCTGGGTTACCAAAAATATTTCTATTTATAAGGCGCATGCAACAACACCGGGCGAAAGCGCCAGCAGACTTAATTGCATTTTCAATATTTCCAATATTACAAAATACAAACAAATTAGTTAAAAATATTGACTTGATGTTTTACAAATAACAAATAAAGCAAATAACATTTGTAACTGAAATATTTTAAGTGCGCATTATATGCTTAATCATTACTCATTGATATATATTTACAAATTTTAAATACCACTTGAAGAAATGAAACCCAATATTCAAATGAAAGACATACAAAATGTTTGCAAGACTCACCTAGAATGAATCGAGATACAATGAGTTGCCAAAAGAAGGCTTCCGAGTTGCTCTGGCTGGGAGTGGCCAGTAAAATCCAGGCAAGGATAGTGAGTACATTGAGCACGATCAGGGACTTCTTCCGTCCGATCCTGTCGAGCAAGAAACCGGACAGCAAACCGCCCAGCGGAGCCGACAGCGCATTGACCGAGGCGAACCAGGAGGCCTGGGAGCTGCTCAGATGCACTGGCTCCGTGGTGTCCGTCAGCTGGTGCAGCGTGGCAGTGGGCATGGCCAGGGTCATGCCCGTCGAGAAGACGCCTATGTTGGCCAAGATGACAGCGCGAACCTGGCGCAGCACTGCCCTCGACTGTTCGCCAGGAGGAGGAGTCTTCAGCGGTCGATCCAAGCCCGAAACGATCCTGGCCTGCTTTCCATTGCTGTCCTCGCTGCCATTTTGCTGGAGGTTCCGATGCTGCTCATCCATTTCGTCGGTTGGCGGGCGAGATTTGGGCTTATCTCTGTTGGTAAAGAGGGAGAGCTTTTTAATGTTAATATTTCTGATTTGCACTTGCTGGCATTCTCACGGTGGGAAAACACTTCCTGATTTAGATAACTAACCCTAACCCTAAACGAATTGTTATGGCCCAAACTCTCTAGCAAAAGGGTAATGCAAATTTACCTCGCAAAGCCATAGTCCCAAGAAAAGTAAACAAACAATTCATCACTTTTGATTACTCATTTGTTGCTTGCCTTTTGCATATAGCTTAAGTATTATAAAGCTAGCATCAAGTATACGGTTTGCATATTTGCCTAGCTCAACTGCTTTATAACAACACAATAGATTACGGCTAGACTTGTTTCTCTCTGTAACCAAGATAATTATGAGAATCATATTTATACTAAAAACACTAACTACAGAGTTTAAATCACTAAATGACATGGGTAAACCATAACAACAAACTGCTATTAGACGTTAATTGTTTGGCCAGTATTATTATGTAAATGAGATGTCCTACGTCTTATAGTTACTCTAAATTTTGCTTTATTTTGTTAGCTTGTAGAGTAGCATATTCATGATTACAAAAACGTGGACATCATCCAATAAACTAATAAACTTGTTTCCATATTCAAGCGCAACCGGATTGTTCCTATATATGATGACTTGTTCTACAAGTGTATTTGGAGAGTCGGTGTTAACATCTAACCTTTCTTTCCTGTTTTCTTGTTTATGACTTTTATAAATGTGCCTATAAGATGGCCTTGCCATCGGCTGATCGCTAATACTCGTACTAACACATAGTATATATAGTTAGCCGATAAGAAGTGCGGCGTATGTTGACCCTGTTCTCGCGATGTCCACTGGCAACTGAAAGTGGGACTGGGCCACACAGCTGATTCTCGATTGTTTTGTTTGTGGATCGCAAGTAAGGCGCGTTGCTTTGATCAATCGATGCCAATAAAAACACTCAATTGATTCGCTTGGCAGGCACTTACTTCTGAATGGATGGGATTTGGATTTTATTTTCACCGGATTCGAGAACCTGCTGCCCAAAAATCCACGAGGCGGGTAAACAGGTTCTGTGCCGACGCTCACCAAAAAAAGGTCGTGACTTGAGACGGATCCAAGAGCTAAGTGGTAAACTACACTACTGCCAAATAAAATGCTGCAAAGCGGAGCGGATCGGATCGGATCGAAGCGAACCCGTCGACGGTAAAGCGCTGGAGCCAACTGAATGCCGCCGCTTGCCACGTTGTTGGACTCCCCAAACTATACGGATTTCATCGCCGCTCCAGCTCTCTCTCGCGTAAACTCAGACAGGCGATAAAGCGGTTTGAGTGCCAGAACCGCACTGCCATATAAGAAACGTCATCCCATCCAGTAGAGCCTATGGATTTGCGTTTTGTGTGTCATGATCGTTTTGATCGCTGATAATGGGGCTCGGACTTCTTAATTATTAAAGGGTTGATCAATGTGCATATGGATTGGGTATCTCCTCAGTTGCCAAGCTGTGAGATTTTCCCCTTATCAGTTCTTTTGTCACGCTTCATTACGCGACCTTTAAATAACAGTAATGTTAAGTTCCATTTGTCGTCGATCTGGGTGGGTGAAGTCAATCTCCCATATACTATATAGTCGCTTATCGGTTGCGCCGATTAAACCGTGGGTGTGGAGGAAGTCAACTCAAGAAGCATTTTACAATGACAGCACAGACTGCGCAGATTTATCTTATCGAATGAAAGGTATTTCGCCTTGCCTGCCGCAATATTTGTCGAGTACTGTAAAAAAGAGACAGTGTGGAGGAGTGAGACTAATTGGCTTTGCCGAAATTGCGTGCTGTCAATTGGCCATTAGCAGTTACGAGTACAAGTGATTAGATAGCGCATGATTAACGGAGGTGTTAAAGGCAAACTTTTCCTCCTACAATTAAATTAAACCGAAAAACCGTTGAATAGTTGCATACAAGTTGGCTATTGTCAGTTACCACTAAAGAATGTCATAGCCTTTAGCTTTTGTCTATTAACAATTGGCAGCATTGCCACTGAGGTGTATATTTCAGTGCTGCCCATACTGTCGATTTTAAGTTATTTTTTTTTTTATTTTAATTATTTTAGAACTAAAACATTTTACAACTTTTATTTATTTTAATTTGTTTTGTTTTGAAAAATATATCTCTACTTTAAGTAGAAAACTTGTGTTTGCTTATATATAATTAGTGTTTACGCAGTTTTCCTAATGATTATATTAAGTATGACAAATGTTTTATAAGTTTTGATTTTATTTAATATTTCTCGGATAAAACTTGGATTAAATTTTCTTCATATATAATATATATGAAATTTAATATTTTCTAACCAGCAAAGTAATAATTTTGCTTAAGCCGCCACAGTATTTAACATTAATCATTGTACTTCGAATTTAACCGCCAGTTTTTCAAATGCCGCGCGCATTTCTATTTGATTTAGTGTGAAACTTTGGAAACGCGACCTACTCAGATTTTGCGTTAGCCGCCAAACTTGTGCTGGAATTTTCGAGTGCTCCACGTGGGTCACACTGTGTGAATTCGGGAACGCGTACACAACACGGAGCGGAGTGCGCCGAGAAAAAATAAAAGCGGAAAAGCCACCACCAGAGCGTGGAAGGGAAAAGGAAAAGCTGATAGAGAGGGTCCCCAAAAAAACACACACAGCCTGCATTCCTCGCGATTCTCCAGGACACTTTTATTCGGCTGCACTTTCCTGTGGACCGAACCGCAGTACTTGAAGCCTTTGAGTAGGATAAAATTGCATGGTTTGCTGAGTGTGTTGCCCCAGGCTCTGTCACCTGGTCAGCCTGTTCGCCCCCATCCTTGTCCCGCTACCGAAAATACAAAAAAAAAAATCATCATCAGCGGGGGATGAGCGCGATTGTTTTTGGGCAGGTGAGCAGGTGTTCCCAACACAAGGAAAAAAATCGAAGCAACATGAGATAAAAGCCTCAGCGTCCTCAGCATAATTTAAATCGCACAAAAATCGAATCGAAACGAAAACGAGAAAATCGGCTCCTTCGTGAGAGAGCCCAGTGCATGTGTATGTGTGTGTGTGAGTGAGCAGCATCCTGGAAACCAGAAAACGACAGGAAAAATAACAAAAATATCAGGACATCATCGCAGCAGCATCATCCCTGGGAATGGAGACATGTCGGGATCGGGACCAGGATCAGGATTAGCCAGAACAGCATCCTCCGATGCCTCCGATACCGCATCATAGACATAGATACACACCCTGCTTTTTGTCCAGGCAGCGACGCATAATGCAGTAATTATATACCGCTCGCCTCGTGTCTCGTGCAATCCAGTCGTCCCAATCCAGTCGTCCCCAGTGACAATTAGCCCCTGGCCCCCGTCAATTCACCCGGCAATCGTCCACCCACATCAACTCCTGCCCCAAGGACACCCATAGCCATAGCCATAGCCATAACCATAGCCACAATAGGCATAGCAATAGAGGTGACGAACAGAACCACAGATCCCGAATCGCATCAAGATGACCACGGACTTTCTGTTCCCCAAGATAGCGGACTGCTCCTATGTGTCCTGTTACTGGTGAGTAACTATATTAATATATATAAATCCGTTGCGGAGTAGGGTGTACCATATCTCCTCAGAGGCAGGGACAAAAGCAACAGCTAACGTCAAACGAAAACAACAACATGGAAAACTTTTTCATTAGGCAGACGACGAAATCATTCACGCAACCTTCAGCACCTGAATATTAACACAGTGGCAGCGCAACTAATGGCTATGATATATAGGATACCTCCCAGGGGAAGTCGAAAGCTGCAGAGAATACCACTGAGCCTAATAAACCAAGCACAGTGGTCACTCGCTATGGGGAACGACTTTTAAATCAGGTTTAAATTAAGAAAGTCAAGTGGGTTAAATTTAAAATTTACCTTAGATACCAAAAGGCATTTTCGGTTGATTTAATATTTACAATATTCGACAATTATAAAAACATCAAAACTATTTCCACTGGTAAAAATCAATGACACTATTTTGTACTCGGTTTGATAATTATGGTGATTGTTTTCTCACAAATCAGACAAATCAAGCATTTTATATACTAATACAGCTACTTTCTTATTTATTTATGAAACACAAAAGATTAAACATTTAGAATAAAACAAAAATCATTTTTAAGCAAAATCCAATTTTAAAAAATAAACAATTTCTCCTCCGTATACATTGAGTTTTTAATTTATTTTCCCAGCCAAAATGCTTTAGTTTTCTATTTCTCAATTAATTTCGTTTTAGTTCATATTAGTCAGTGAACACTTTTCTGGGCCTTAAACGGCTCAACCCCTTGATGTATACGAATTCCGGCTGCCTTTCACACTTCTGTGAATGATTATCTCATGCTTGGCCAGTCCCAACTGCCGAGCGCTTCTTCTTTTAATTATGTATATTTTATTTTTGTGCGTTATCTCTTTTGGCAACAACATTCGCCACTCAGCGCAGCCATGTCCTTCGTCCTTTGCCGCCGCTTTTTGGATGATTTTCATTATGCCTCCTCCTTTCGCTCGTCGATGTGCCTCGCTTTGCATTCAAATTCGCTCATTATTCACTCACTCCTGCGAGTCCTGCGTCCCGGCATCCTTTCACCCTCCCCCCCTTTTTCCCCTCTGGCTTTCCGAGTTTGAATCCTGTTCCTGAGCATCCTGATGCGGCGCCGTTTGGCGCTGCGCAGCTCCAGAAATTAGGTCAAACGGTCATGTCTGCTAAGAAGGAAAGCGTGCCACTGTGTTGGTGTGCTCCTGCACTGGTGTGTGTGTGTGTGTCCTGTGTCTGTGTGAGTGTGGGGTAGGACGGGCCGAAGGATGGGGGTTCGTTTTTATGGCCACATGCGAGAAGCGCGTTTCGACTATAAAACAAACGACCGACAAACAACAAAAACAATCGAAAAGCAAAGCAAAAATTAAGCAAAACACATATCTAGCATACTACACTACATTTATATTCGATGTTGAAAATTACAAACTGCAGCGGTGTGTCTCTTTCCTTGGAGAACCTTTTGTTGAGATTCTTTGAATTAAGATGGCTTAGTTGGTTATCAATATTTATTTAATCAAATATTTATTATTCCAAATGTTTTTGTACATAATAGTCCGGACATCACTGATTCACCGATTGCACTGGGATGATGAAATATACTGTCATGGCGAAATAAGACTCCCACTGTGGAAGCTTTAATACAAATAAATTCCGAGAAGGCAGTATATTTTATTCAGTAACGTAAGGAATTTACAAGTATTAAAGGCATCTTTTGTACAGAGAACTTTGCTAGCAAACTGCTTAAATCGCAGAATCTTCGTTAAAAGTGGTTGAAGATCGTTTTTTCGATTTTTAATCAGAGTTTTCAATTCTATGCTGGAAGGTTAGAATGAAATTTAATAGCAAACTACCGCCTTTATTATCTTAAAAGATAATTAATTACATAAATGCTTAAATAAGTTTTATATAATAAAGGGACGCGCTTAAAAGTAATACTTTCAAAACAAAAATGACCACACCGAATCTAAAAGCACATTATGATGCCTTACTTGTATGGTATGTGCCGTAATGTCCTTGCTTTGCTGCAATATTTAAAATGCTAATTGCAAAAATGGCGGCAATGGCGGCGACGGGCTCAAAGTAATGGCAACTTGGCAGGCGGTCCCCGGAGGAATTGGCGGCGCGGACTTGTTTATCCTGGCGCGTGATATGAGTTTTATGTTCTGCCACCCACACACACGCTCACAAAAAAAAAGCGGCAAAAAATATAAAGTAAAAGGCGCAGAACATAAAAAAGTTTTTACACACGCAAAGCCCATCTACATGGCCAGATAAAATGTCGTCGCGTTCTCTGACCTCATAACGCCCAACTACCAAAACCCCCATTCAACCCGCCCAACCACCCACCACCGCCCCCTTTCTCCCGCAGGACATGTTCATTGATTAATTCGCAACTGCTCGCGCACTCACATTTGCACTCAGATTCATCTTTCCTTCCAGGAAAACTCTGGAAAACCCTCCGCTCTCGTTTTCCTCAGAATACACACCACAGCAGGCGCCATCTGTGGGTCGCGTGTTGCAGCGGTTCGCGAGTTTAAGACACTGCCTGCTGGCACTTTGGCCACTGCACTGCGAAAAACTAGCTCAGGTCTAATTTGTTGTCTTAATTTTGATTTAATGCCATGGAAATGGTAACCTACCATTTCTCCAAAAACATACATAACTCGCATTTGTCTTTCTCGAAGTATCTATAGGTCAATATGGCAATATTTTATTTCCGCTTTATGATAATCATTATAATATTGAGAATATAGAATTTTAAAACTGTTATACTTATCTAATCGAACCCAAATCAGAGAAAATCATCAGTTGCATTATCATATCGAATAAATTTTTCTTTTTGTGTGCGTTTGTGAAAGCTTCTCAAATTGGGTTTCGGATTGAACTGCCCCACCACCCAGAGAACCCACACCTTGCCGCCCATTTAAAGCAATCTCTGCCTGGCGGCATTAATAACGCCTGCTCACGATATCGCCGCGAGCCACTTTCAGTCGCGACTTTTGACCGCGCCACTTGTGTGGGCCTTGCCACCTGACTCTTGCCTCCTGCCACCCAGAAGACCACCCCGTGGAGCCCTTGTTATACCTGTTACTGTTGATGTGGCTGCTTTTGTAGTGCCACCTAGTTTAATGCCCCAGTCGCATGCACCTGAGACCGCACAAACGCCCACCCAGCCATTCTCTCAACAGCCGAGCAACAATGTGTGGCAGTAGAATTGATTGGAATTTATTCGAAAGAGCCAAAGCGTGCCGAGCAAAATCGATTATTGTAATGCCAACGAGGCGGCGGCCTGTTGCTGATAAAGGTTAGAGTGGGCTAACCCACTTGACATTTCGTGCAAGGATTAGCCTCGGACTGGAACTCAGACATTTGACTTGGGCCTAATCTTGCTCTTAAGCAGGGCATCTATTGATTGCTAAGACTCTGCTTCTGTTCTTGCATGCAGCGAGGAGAACGTGTGGAAGCTCTGCGAGCAGGTGAAGCGGACGCGGCCCGAGGAGCTGTCCAAGTGCTACGCCGTATTCGTGTCCAACGAGGGTCGCACCGTGCCCCTTTGGCGCCAGAAAGCCGGCCGCGGCGACGATCAAGTTGTGATATGGGTAAGTGTATGAACCGTAAAAGTGGGAAACATAAAACCGACTTTGAAACAACCAAACTGCTGATCGAATTTTAAAAACTTAAACCAGACTGGTTGTAAACGGTGCAGCCCTCATGTATTAAATGGGATTGAATGGTTTAAAACTAGCAATTATATTGAATTATACATATGAAGGATCTATTCGGGCTTTCATTATCCGATTCTGAGACATAAAACCGGTGCACAGTTCTGTAATTTAATCGGATTGAAAGCTTTCGAGCAGCCGCTGCACCGTTTAAAACCAGATTTAATAATAAAAGGTGCATACAAAGTATGTATTTAGAATTATATATTTGAATTATAATTTACACTTCATCTATGCCATAATTAGAAACCATACCATTTTTCGAAGCAGTTTGGTACTTTTCATAATGGGCTGCAACCCATTCCAAGTATTTGTAATATATGTTACCACATAACTTCAGGACTACCACGTCTTCTTCATGCACAATCCCTCGCTGAATCGCTGTTTGGTGTTCGATCTGGACACCACGCTGCCCTTCCCCACATACTTCCACAAGTACGTGACGGAGACATTTCGCTCCGATCTGGCCCTGCGACCGGAGCACCACAGGTGGGTATCCTGCAGGATCCTGAAAGAGAGTCAGATTGAAAGCTTCATACATTTATTATAGATTCTTCAGAGTCATACCCGCAGACACATATCTCATTGAGTTCTCGTCGGACCGGCGTCACATGCGTCGGCCGGATGGCAGTTGGATCAAGCCGCCGCCCTCATATCCACCCATTCTCTCGAATAGTAAGTGCTTGAGCTAACGATTCACAGAAACCTGACCGTTTGTTTGCCTGTTTCCGCAGCCAACATACACTGTCTGGGCGACTTCATCTGCATGAGTGCAGGAAAAGGTCCTGGAGTGGTCTACAGCCTCTCGGAATTCGTGCAGAACTTCTACAAGTCGCCCCACGTGATGGCGCAGAACAACAAGTAGAGGAGGGCTCAAGGACCCGGGGATCTGAATCCAACATCCCACTGATGCAGAACGCATCAAGCAACGCATCCACATCCAAATGCAAATACAAATCCGTATCGAAATCGAAATCGTTTTGTCGTTGTCGTTACCAGACAGTTAATTACCAATTGCATACATATACATACATACATATACACGCGAACATATAAATATATTTATGATAATGTATTTTTGTATTCAGGTTAACAAAAAATCAAGTGCAGAAGAAGGTTAAAACGCAAACGCTGGCGCCACGCAGCCTTTTGCGTTCATTTGCATTGAAATTCGATTCTAAAGAAATTATAAATCTAATTATACATTTTTTTATTGTACGTATATTGTATTGTATTCGATAAAAGCAACCACACACACATATATATATATAGAATAGCCGAGGGCAGAGATGAGATTTTTATTCGTTACTCTACTCCAAGTACTTTTTGTAACTCTAAACCTAAACCTAAACGAAATGGAAACGCACCAATTACGAGTAAAGTAAACAAAGTCGATATACATATGGATATGGATCTAACTACCACTTTGCATACTACGCTACGCTCTCGATTCTGTAATTCAATTTTTGGCTAGGCTCAAAGCTAACCCACACCTAACTCAAACTTACACTCTACTCTAAAACTAACGTTAACGTCGAATCTAAGCGAGGCGGTATAATTGCATTAAAGCTTGTTAACTTGTTTTACCGTGTTTACACTAATTACGTACTCGTACCGCAATTATAATTGTAATTCGAATATTATCTACTTTGTATACAACGGAAACCAAATCGATGATAATACTGATAATGTGTATTGTGTATGTTTGTATCTAGCTAGTTTTTGTACGGTTTGTATGCCCGAGGATCCTCAGTCGAATCCGCATTAGTAGCCGCCACTCCCTCTTTCCCAATCCGCCCATCCGACCCTCCCGATATGAAAATCCCAAAATCCGAACACCACTTAGCGTTGATTTCGATATATTTATCGTGTCGTTTCCCCGTTCGATTGATGACTTGTGACGCGCAAAGACTGATTCATTATACGCTCTACGGTAGCTGCAGCCCTAATGTCCGAAAAAAAAACCCCATCTTTCGTACCCTATCCTATCCCTTGAGTGTCCTAGACATCTTTCGATTGTTTTTTGTCCGGCTTCCAACCTTTACACTCGGATTAGTTAACGAAACTCGCATTTATTTTTGATTTACTGGTTTACATTGTTTTGGGATTTGTATAGAGAGGTTTTTACTCGACTTGTACTTGTACGGGGAATACCATATAGACATAAACGATATATAGGACATAAACGAGGATGTATAAAAATAAATGCTGTGCAAAAGTCTCAAAGTTAAACCTAAACTCTTAATTATACAACTCTAGCGAACAACCAAAACCAAAACACGAAACGTTTCTCAATGTTCTCAATGTATCTGCGATTAGATAGATACCTATACATATATTTATATTTATATTTATACGAATACCCTTGAGTTTGTATTGTGTTTTTATCGATGGCTACTATCGTTCATCGGCAATTGTTTATCGCCGGAATCGAGCACCAAGCAAGCGATTACAATTAAGTGTGTAAAAATCAATTATATATAGACACTCACATAGATAGAGCATACTTATCGTGTAACTTGGCATTTGCGCCACTCTTTTTCTCTTCCAATTTTCTACTACAAACCGAAAACATGGCATATTAACAATATTGGGCAAATAAATAGACATTTAACGGGCAGATATATATATATATATATTTAACTGTAAGCTAATCATTAAGTTTTGGCGCCAGCGCGAAATCTGCGCGTCTTTTTACTCTTTTTTACATAAGCATATATATTTAACTGAATGAATCGCAACTGAGCATAAACGCAAACACTGAGAACCCGCAGCCGACTTTGATTCAGATATTTGTACATCTGATATATCTTTACCAAAGGGAAGTTTGACCTCCGATAGCAAAAGAACAATTCAGATAAGATCAGGACAGGCTAAACCATTTCTAATCCTCCTCTTTATCCATCTGTAATCCACTTTGAACCCCGGTAGCTGCAAGTGGTTTCAAATCCAAGTCCGAATCCCTCTCCCACACATTAGTTGAGAACTAAGATTTACAACCGATTCCACGCTTTATTGGCCTACGCCTTTGTTGATCTTTTCATCTATAAATTATCCATCGTACTTTTGATTGTTATTGTAAAATATTTTTACAACTCCCTAGTATTTATACGTGCAAACATAAAACGAAACAAGCGAACAAAAAACCAAAGTCAAACGATGCAAGAAGCAAATGAAATAACATTCTATTTATGGATCATTGAATTATGATTGTTCTCTTAATTCTGCAAATGTGACGCGCTAATGGAAAATCAATATGAATACCACTTAAATTAAAAATACCGATCAATAAAATATTCTTGAAATTGCATTTTAAACATCCATGTGTCAATCCCATTGTTTTTCTCAGGATTCCCTAGACTGTGGACTTTGGGGAAGTCCCAAATTTTGTACAGCTTGTGCTGAGTACGGAGTTTCCAGAACCAAATATGTAAACATTTGGTGGAATTGTTTACCCTTTGTTTGAAAAGGAATGGTTTTCTGCTTTAAAAACATTAACTCCAGTTGCTTCGTTTTAATTTATAAAAAAATGTATTTAAATAACTAAAAAATCTAATCTAAATAAACCAAATATGATAATATTGAGAACTTTTATAACATAATAATATATATCATTTTTTTTTTTTTATTTTTCCTCTGATCTACATTATTTCAACATTTTTCACATTAGTCAACCCCCAAATTTTGATGAATTTTCTGTCACCAAAAACAAATATATAAAACATTTCTAATATTTCTATCCTATTATTAGGCACTTTTTAAATCTCTTGTCGACGACTACATACATATTTTAATAAATTATTTCTCTAACCAAAATTAAATTGTGCGTCATACAAAACTGGAACTTTAGGATCAGAACTTAAAACCAAGAGAATGTCTTAAAATAATTTTCTTTTAAATTATGAAACGTACTCTGAAATACCTTTAAAAAACTGAATCAATTTACCCTTTTTTTTTTTTTTTTTTTGCGTATATTGTTCTTGTAATGTTTGGCTGAGTTTCTATAGTACCCTTTTTAGATTGCTTTATAAAAAACTTTACGTTTAAATACAAACCATACATTTGTAAGCTTCTCATGCCATGGGTTAATTGTTTACGTTTTAGGAACGCATAAAAGTTTACAGATCTGCCAGTTTGCTCTTTTTTAACGCAAACAAAGATACTCTCTTCGGAATTCGAAATTCGAACACTGATCAGCTGGAAGTACTGAGAGTCGCAAACACGAAGAGCGAACAGTAGCTTTCCTCTCGCCAGCCGGCTCAACTGGTGGATCAGATAGCAGACGGCGGCACTCGACGACGGAAGCAATTGGGCAGCAGTAGCAGTGACATGGCAAGGAATCTGGAAGACAGCCTCATCCAGGCGAACGCAGACTACGTCAACTTCGACCGGCATCGGGAGGAGTACACCACCCACTACAATGCCCTGCGGGACAAGCTGTACACCGAATGGAAGGCAGCTGGAGTTCTGGGCAAGCTGCTCAATGGATACACACTGGGCGGTAGGTGATATGTAACCCATTCTGCATTCTCCATTTGCAATGTGCATTAGTCTGGAAGCGAGAAAGTGAGACTGCAATTGCAGCCAAGTTGCTGAGATCCGGTAAAACGGCTGCAATTTGCGCTGAGTTTATGGCGTCACTACTTAGGTGCGATAAGAAGGGAAACGCGAATCGAAATTTATACCGGAAAAGTAAAATTGGCAAAGTTTTATACTCTTTTAAGACGCAGTGGCATGTTAATATATTGCTTACATTATATAAAACCCGAGGACTAACAAAAAAATTATTATGGACAGTGATACAAGAAACTAAATTAACATTTTGTGAAAGAATGAGTATTATTATTATTGTTGAAATACATTATATAGAAAATTATAGGAAGACAAATTCAAAATATTCTTATTTTCAAAATCCAACGTTGTTACGTTTATGACGTACTGATCGTGCTTTCCTGTTACTTACGTGCTCTTGAATACAAAATATCAAAATACAAAAATCCACGAAAACAAGAAATTCTAGAAGGTTCTATTTGGAATTAAACCCCTACTAATTTTAAAAATTCCCCCCTTAGGACGCTGTACCATTAAAAGATATTGCTATTCAAAATCTACTGAACACTTACAAAAAAAATATTAATTTTGACAGTGCAAAAACAAACTAAGTTATTCTTATTTATTAAGTTATTATTATTATGATTGTCAAGTTCAAGTGATTTAAGATAGCTTAAAGCCTTGTAAAGTAAATCTTATGGCCTTGAAAGGGACTTATCAGACTTCCTTACCTAGTTCCTGGAACACACCCATAAAGTGCATCCGTAAGATAACTTATCTGAATGGCTTGCATTGGTTAGATAACATTGGGCGATTTATTGTTTGTATAGTTCCTAAACAATCATTTCTCCTGTCTTAGGTGGCTATGGCGATAACCTGAAGGTATCGATGCCAGATGAGTTTGATCTGGTGATTCACCTGGTGTTTCCCGAAAATGACAAGATCATTGTCAAGGCTGATCGCGCAAAGCCAGGTGAGGATATTGCTAGGGGATTAGTGGTATTTAAGTAACAACTCCGATTTGGACAGGCAATGTGATCCTGGACATGAGCAAGGTGATGGAAACGATCTGGAATCAGGAGCACAACAAGGCGGTCTTCGAGCTCCTAAGGAAGATAGTAAATGCCAAGAATGAGTTGCTGGAGGACAAGCTGCAGAGCTGGCTGCAGGGTGTGATGACCCAGGCCCTCAACAGGATGGGCAAACAGATCGAAGTTGGAGGCGTGGTGTCGCCCCTCTGCTACAAGAAGTGCGGCCCCGCCCACACGATCTTTGTAAAGGGGCGTTACGAGTACTCGGTGGACTTTGTCCCGGCCATCAAGCTATCGGCGGCGCAATCCGTTTTGGCCCCGGAGCAGAGAAGGCACTTTGGCAACACACCCCACTGGGATGCCATTCCCAAGCCCATGAAGCCAGCCAAAAACGACAACGTTTCCTTCAGAGCCTCGTACTACGATGCCGAGCGTAGGCTGCTCCACGGCAAGAACAACCTGAAGAATGCCATCCGACTGCTGAAGCAGCATAGGAACACCAAAAACAACATGGGGAACCTGAAGAGCTATTACATCAAGACGCTTTTCCTGTGGGAGGTGACTCGGCGGGACGACAGCTACTGGCAGAAACCCCTCAAAGAGATACTGATCGAGGTGAATGTCTGATTTTAGTTAGTTAAGTTAATTGGTTGGTTCTTCCCACAAACTTTAATATTCTCGATTATTTTCCTTCCAGATGCTGGGCAAGTTGGAAGGCACTCTCGCTTTATCTTCGGGCAAGGGCAAGTTGCTCTTCTTCTGGGACCCCAAACTGGATATGATTGCCGATCTGAGCGTTAACCAGCGAACGGACATGTTCAACTGCGTGTCCAAGAGCAAGTACACCTTCTGTCGTGGCGACGGCAACCTCACCGACGACATTAAAGACAATGTTAAGGGCTCTTTTAGTATGAAAACGAATTATATTCCCAAATCGAAACTGTAGTAACATTAGAACATTTCTTTCTTAAGGCAACGGCAAGGGCAAAGGGACAGAGAACAGGCCTTTGAATGGACAAAGCAAAACAGCGAACCAGGACTGCAAGAAAAAGGATGAAGATTGCCAAAAGGAAACCAAACCTAAAGTGAAGCCTAGTCCTGTCAAGTCAAATGAACCAAAGGGAGATAAAGTGGAATTGCCAGGCGCCAAATTGAATGCAAAACCCAATGATTCCAAGAAAACTGTGGAGGCAAAGGTGCAGCCTACTCCTGTCAAGCAAAATGCAAAGCCGAATGAACAGAAAAAGCCTGTGCAGTCCCAGACCGAAGAGAAGTCCAAGGTGCAAGCTGTGGCGGCTCCCAGTAAACCAGTTGCAAAACCCAACGAGGGCCAAACCGGAACCAAAGCCAAGGTTAAGGTCGAGCCTGTCAAACCAAATCCAAAACCGAACGAACAGAAGGCAGCCAAGGTGGTAACTCCTCCTGTTCAGCCAACCAACCAACCAAAGCAAAATCCTGCACTTAAACCGAAGCAGCCTGCAAATAACTCCAATCCAAATGGGAATGGTGCAAAGCCGAAGACCAATGTCAGCGGAGATGGTGACTCCAAGGCACAGTCACCTCCTAGTGAGAAACCAGCTGGCACTTGCCTTCTAAGCTAATTGCATCAGGGAGACGGGCTGTGAGTGAAAGAGTTTTATTAACAGCAAAATGAAAGTAAGTTTGATCTTAACCGATCGATCTTAAGCCTAATCCTTGCCTCCGCTGGCCGGGTGATGTGTGGTCGTCGTTGTTAAGTCGCTTGTGCTCCTGCAGCTCTTACAGTCCGCCTCCGGATCGGTCCACGCTGATCTTCTGCTTCAGATTGGCCGCCTCTTGCTTCTGCTCCTCCAGCTCCGCCATGCGCGCAAACCGCGAGTAGGCCACGTCGCCCGTCTTGATGGCCGACATCATCTGCAATTGGTTGGTTTTTCGATAAGTGGTGGTCATATATTATCTTTCAATTTTTAATATTTTTAATTGCTGATTTCTGTCATTAAATATTCTGATTTTATCGTAGTCATTGTGTACTTACTTAACTGTTAAGGGAATACGTTTTTCATTTATGGAGAACGAAATTAAGCTCAGCCAAAAAAAAAATTGTTGGACCTAAAGAACTTTAAGCTACGAAAGTTCTTACTAAGAAGCCATAACGAGAAAGCTATGCTTATTTCTACCAATAAATACAAAGACTTTATCGTAGCCAACGTTCACTTATCCAAATGTTAAGGCAGTTTTTGAAATTAACCAGAATATTTTGTTCAAGTTTTCAGCAAGGAGTACTAATAAAATGGAACTGCTATTGAATGGTATTTCCATGGAATGTGATTTTCTTAGATTTGCATAGCTCACCTGGAGGTACTCGTCCAGCTCCACCTGGCCGTTCATGTTGGTATCGATTTCGCGCAGGATTTCGTGAAGCTGCTCGCCGGAGACGTCGGCATCGCCGAAGCTCTTGAGGGCACGGCGGATGTCGTTGATGGAGACGTAGCCCTTCTTGTCCTTGTCGATGAGCTGGAAGCGCTTGATGTACGTCTGGATCTCCTCCTTGGACAGCTTGATGGGGATGCGCTCCTTGGAGGTGCGGTTGACCGTGTGGCCCATCTCGTTGGCCAGGAACTCGGTGGCCTTCTTGATCTGGCGCTCCTTCTCGTCCTTCGACCACTGCAGCTCCTCGCCCATGATGTCCACGATCACGGGCAGTGCCTCCTGAGCAGCCTGGACATTGAGGAAGGCCAGCCGGAGGCGACGGGCAATCATGTCCACGGCGGTGCAGGCGTACTCGCGCACTCCGTACCGGATCTCGGCGTCGATGTACGGGAACTCCGGGTGGATGCGGTTGCCGATGATGGGCCAACGCTTGCCGGTCAGCGAGGCCATCTTGGACACGGCGAAGGCGCGGTCGCCGTACGACTTGGCCAGGTGCTGGGCCACCTCGCACTCCAGCCCGAAGTCCTGCACCAGACGGATGTACATGGTCGGGGTCCAGCCCTGGCCGCCCTCGATCTTCAGGTAAGAGGTCACCGCCTCGGCGCGTTCAGGCTTTAAGTTGCAGGCTTTTAGGGGAAAAGGAGGGAATTTACAAAGATTATAGTTGGGGATCAGGTGGGGTTAAAGTAATACTCTTATGTTTAAGTTTTTAAACACGCACTCGTAACCATTTTTAACTTATATGTTTATTAATAACTGATATCTTCTATAAATCATTTGCGTTATCTTATCTCTTTTTTAATATTGGCATATTATCAGCATCATAGAAACACAGACAATTTAAAGCTGGTGTCCTAAATAAACACAAATCCTGCTTCGAATCTATTTTGATATTTACACAGGACTGTTTTCAAAGACTATTTATTTCAGGATTCGTAAATATCTCACACAATTTACAAATCAAATGTTTAAGACTCAATAATTTTAGATACACGCTACATGATTAATAAAATACACTTTGTATTTTAAAAAACAAATGTAAGTTTGTACAAAACAAACAGACGAGTGCTATATATTATTTGTATTACTTTTTTTAAGTAAATTTAATAACAGTACTCATACCTAATTATTTTTTCAAGTTCCAACCAAATAGCTGATTTGGTCGTCTTCTTATTAAATTAAAAAAAAACAGTTGTATTTTTTGATGTTAGTTAATGGTGTTCATAAGCCAAAAAAGAAAGTCGTATTAAAGGGCACTTTGATGTTTAACGTTCTATAGCTCAAGAATTTTCTTTTTTCTTTATATAGCCTTCAAAGTTTGATTTTTGATTGTCTGAAGAATTCGCGTTACGTTATAAGATAAGAAAACCCAACCTCTCAGTTGAACAAAAATGTTTACTTAATAGACTAAGATAGTAAGATCCTTCGCAACTCACCCTTGATTGCCGCATCGATGGTGTGCTCGGCCATGGCCCGGTAGGTGGTCCACTTGCCGCCGGCGATGGTGATGAGATTGGAGGGGCTGACGTGGACGATGTGGTTGCGGGCCAGCGACTGGGTGTCGTCCTTGTTGGGATCGGAGACCAGCGGGCGGATGCCGCTCCAGGCGGAGAGCACGTCGCCGCGGCGCACCTCCACGTCCGCGTTCAGATAGTTCTTGATCTCGCTGAGGATGAACTGGATCTCGTCCTCGGTGGGCGTGGGGTTGTGGGTGATCTCGCAGGGCAGGTCGGTGGTGCCGGCGATCGTCTGGCGCTGCCAGGGCAGGAAGAAGATGACGCGGCCGTCGGAGGTCGAGGGATCCAGCAGGCCCATCTGGTCGGGACTGTAGTAGCCGGGCAGCACGATGTGCACGCCGGAGCTGGGGCAGCAGATGCTCTTCACCGTAGGATTGTCCATCTTGCGGATGGAGTCCGTGAAGGGTCCGGCGGCGTTAACGATGCACTTAGCCTTCACGGTGAACTCCTTGCCGGAGATATGGTCCTTGACCTTGGCTCCGCACAGCACCTGTTTTCCGGTGCCGTCGTCCTTCTTGAGCAGCTCCTTCACCTCCACGTGGTTGCACACCGTGGCTCCGTGGCGGGCGGCCGTCAGCGCCACCGCCAGACACATCCTGGCGTCATCCTGCTGGCCATCGTAGTAGACAATGGCGCCACACAACTTGTCCTTCTTGAGCATGGGGAACAACTCAAGGGCGTCTTTTTTCGACAGGTAGTACGAGCTCTTCACATTGCGATCGCCGGCCACCAGATCGTAGGCCTTGATGCCCACCCAGTAGTAGGGCACCTGCCACCACCTGCGAAATAAGATGAATTATTTAGTTCGTTGAGTTCATTGAGCTAATAGAAGAGGTGTCACAGATTTTCTGGCAGTAAATTTACTCTACTTTTCTAAACGTGGAAAATAATTACATTTGAAAAGAGTTTTTTTACTTTCAAGTAAAAGGTTTCCTTATCGTTATTAGCAGCTATAAATATTAGCAGTCTAGTTTGTTATTTGGATTATAAAAAACAATAATTTGATTTGAATGTTTACTAGACTAAACTACTACCTACAACTTCTGGCCAATTATTTAAATGTTCAAGATTTGTAAAACCAATTGAAGGAAGTTTCTGTTGTGGATTTCTGTGAAACCTCTGGCTTAAAAACATGATTCTAATTTACGTGTAAACTGGCAGCATGATGGGCAGAGGGTGGGTCAAGTGGGGCGCCGATTCGAGCATGGTGGCGCGCTCCTGCAGCGCCTCCTTAACCATGCGGTACTGCTCAAGGTCTAGCTGAGGTGATAGATGACAATTAGCACTTTACGATAGTTACGATAGCTCTAGTTTCGAGATGGGAAACTTACGCCCAGGATGGCCTTCTGCAGATATCGCACTCCGCCGTGGATGAGCTTAGTGGAACGGGAAGAGGTGCCACTGGCAAAGTCATCCAGCTCCACCAGAGCGGTCTTCAGTCCTGTTTTTGGGAGAGTTTCTTAGAAGGGGGCTTTACTTTAAATATTTACCCACCTCTCGTAACCGAATCGAGGGCACAACCGGCCCCAGTGGCTCCTCCGCCGATGATCAGCACATCGAACTCCTCGCCGCTCATCAGGGACTTGATTTGATCCGCTCGCGGGGGCAGCGTGCGCTTCCTCTTGGGCGGTAGGGTCTGAGCATTATTAACCACATGGGGGGAGTTCCAGCGGTCCAGGGAGTAGGAGGCCAGCACGGAACCCACGCAGGCGCTGGCGGCGGTCACGCCGAACTTGAACATTCGCGAGGTCATCTCGGGGATCTCTCACGAAACTATTGAAACGATCGAGTAGTTGATTGTGCTGAAAAATGGTGCAAAACAACAACCGCAATTAGTTTTACTTATTTTTAGTGCACCCTAGCTCACAAGTATGCAATAAGAACGACAACGCTTGAGTTCTACAAATGTACATTTCAAAGTTTTTGTTTTTCTTTAATCTTAATTGTATCTTAGGATACTATTTGTATTTGTTTGCAAAGAAAAATTAATTTTTTTTTATAAATTATCCATTTGCTTTAATAGTAGATTTTTTTTGTGCCTAAATTTAATATATGTTAAATATTTTAAATAAAATGGTTTTGATTATTGTTTTATGAATTCGTTATACAAATTGTTTGTAATTAAAGCAATCTGTTATTCCTCCAACAATAATTTAATTTGTACTTTTAAATAGTTTAAACAAAACAGATATCCGCTTAAAGACAATTACCGCTGTCGATAATGCCGTGACACACTTGATTGAGAATCTTTAACTTGAAACTTGTTTTATCTACATTTGTCTCTCAGTTTTATAGGAATTTGATGATATCACAAACACCATAAAATCGGGCACTAAACAACAAATAATGCAGAGAGTGAGATGGCTCAGAGAACGCCCAAATGGCGGAGAGCTAATTATATTCCGAATTAAATTGGCACTCCCCACACATCACTGCCCCTCATCCGTGGCTACATAGTGCTCTCTATGGCTATGTAGTGCTCTCTTTATTCACAGCTGACTGAAGCTTTTGCGCAAAGCTTTTGTCCGACTTTTGGCTCTCTGGGAAGGGCGACGAGTGTTCCATTCCATTGGCACGCGAATGTGTGTTAAATCAATACTGGTACTACGGATGACCAGATGAAGATATAGAATAGTGGCGAAAGTTGGGACCCGGAACACTGGCTCTTAAACAGAACCTAATTCGCAGAGATCCAGGTTGGGCGCACTTTCTTGTAGCTCCCGCACAATTTCGATTCGAGCCAATCCAATCCAATCCAATCTTAACCGATTCAAGACCATGTTTACCTTTTGGCTTCCAGGCCGCGAGTGCCCCAGCAACAGACTGAATACGAAAGGGGAAAACACAAACCGAAATCGCCCGATTTCCGACGACCGAGAAATGAGTATGCGAATGCGAATGCGAACGGAACGTTTTTAGCGGGCGTAACACAGCGTGTGAAAATGATTACATCAGAGTTTGAGTCACTTTTCCGCTTGCCAGCCGCCTGCTGCTTCTCGCATCCGCACTCGGCCAAGGCAAATCGGTTATTGAGCTCACCTAGTGCTCTGGATTTGGACTCCGGTTCTGAATTCGATTCCGGGTGTCTTTTGGCTGCCTGGAACTGCTGGGCTGAGAACTGGGGAGCAAGATACTCCGTTCCGTCCGTTTAATTCGCCAGTCGCCGTCGCTCTGCGCAAAACTGCACTGCTCTGCACTGCCTGCAGCTTTTCTTGCCGCTCGACAAAACTTTCAGTGCAGTTCGTGGCTCGTGCTCGGCGCAGTCAGCTGTTAGGCCACGCCCCCCGCCACCACCGCCCCTCCTGGCCTAGCTAATTAGCCAACTGGCAGATCTCAAGATGCAAGCGAATGACCAGATACAAGGTATTCAACAGATTCTCGTGCTGCAGCTGGTCTTGTATTTGTACGAGATGTAGCTTTCAATTAATTTTCAAGCTAATCGAAATCTTAAGTGTCACGGTTGTATCCTTGTGTAAGATTTTTGGGTTTTAAATATTATGGGTTTATGTCTTTAGGAGATCTTAAAGAAATCCTTTCAAATTTCAGACGATTTTCTTTAAACCGAATTTCTGGTGTCATTGTTATTATAATAATTAAAATAAAAAATACTCAACATTACTTCAGCTGTCAAAAATATCTTTTGATATTTAAGGTTTTAAAGGAAAGATTGAATTATTATATTATTATTATATACATTCCATTACACTTAAAGTAATTTCATATTCATGTGGCGTTAAATAACAACAAAGCCGAAAAATTCCAAAGAACTTAATCACATAATATAAAAACCGTTGTTATTTTTATAATTTATATCACATTATATTTCGCAGAGAGTATATAACATCCACAGAGATTGCTATATGCATAAACCGCTCGCACTTTTGCCCGATTCTACCTCGTTTTTGGCACCTGCGAGATGCGCCCACGTTGTGTTCCGAGCGTGTTTATTCTGTAACTGGCGGCGCATAAGCAGCCTATCTGATATTTTTATTGTTTCGCGCTCTTCGCACATCAGATTATTCAATTATGTGGCGAGTGTGCTGATAGAATCGCGGAGCAACAACACTGGCCAACAAGGCTGTGCTTCCGTGAATTTCCACGGCGCCGCAACGACATCGAATCAGGAACTCTGCGCTGATAAGAGCCATTTCACAAGTGCCTTACGCATTTCGAGGGCACCACTGACACAGTTTATGAATGAATCATGGATACGAATGGCAGATGAGTACGAATAAATGGCGGAATATCTTGAGGAGCCTACCCACTCACGATCGGCTGGCCAGACAGAGAGCAGACGGAGCAGGAGACCCAAGTACGTCACGGCACACGAGATGGTTTGGTTTGGCTTGGCATGGGTTAGCTAGGTCAGTTTCACTTGCGCAATTGAGCAAGAACTTAACATGGCTATTTATAGGCGGCGAGACCCGCCAAACAACAGTGCGGTACTACAGACCTACAAACGACCTTGGCATTCCCAAACCTAAACGTCTGGCTAATTGTGCCGAAAGCGCAGTTATCACGCCGCCTGTAACTGATACAAAGTATCCAACGGATTGTCCGGCGGAACGAAGCGAAACGCCTACCACGCACCCACTGCGTGCCGAATGCTCCACCCACGCCGGAATATTATAATTATTTGTACAAATGGCAGCAAGACGTCGTCGTCGGAGAAATATACCCATGCTATTAACTATATACGTGCGTCGAAAAGCTCGACGGCGTCGCCAGTCGTATCTCCATCTGCCGATGTCGGCGACGACGCGTTGGCTAGCACGTGAACATTATCAGTGGACGCGGTGGAAGGCGGGGTAATTTGACTTTGCCACGACCAGAACAGCAAATCAACCAGATTGGGTTGGTTTGGCACCTGTACCGGCACCGGTGGAGGTGCCTATGGCCACCGGCGTGCCCTCCACTGAAGGTGCCACCGCCTGACCCGCAAATGTATCCAGCATAATCAGGAGAGATGCGGAGCTGGTCGACTTAAGTACTTAACTTTATCACAAATTTAAACTTTCACGATTACCTTAACAAAACGTTCCCCCATTAGTAGCTTATCACCGAAATTGTTTATCTGTCTGTTCCAAAAAGTTTGTGCATAGTCAAATTGATTACAAATTGGTATAATCAAACGTTTAGCTAATTAGATTTGCCTAATTTTAGTGGCATTCAATTATGTTATGATGTAATTGAGGTAAACTGTGGACTCTTACTTATACAAACGCGGTCTTTTCTCTCCTATTTTAATTGGGAATAGCACATTTGTTTTATTTTAATATTATTGTAGTTTACATAACTTTCTAATATTTTTTTCTATAGACTGATTTTTAAATGATCGGCTTGTTTACTTCTAGATATTACATAGAGGTTAAATTTTGGATGTACGAAAGGCACGGAAGGCCACGTGGTTAGCATAAGCCTTCTGCCAAAATAAGAACTTTATTTTTAATCAGCAGGTAAATGAACAAAAATTGTTATTAAAGAAGAACTGCGAGTCAACTGTTTTTTTTTTTTCAGAAAGGGCTATGGTCTTACATTTCACGTTGGCATATGGCATAACGCTTAAAAAATTGGACATCGACTAAGCAAATTTAGATACTCTGTTTTTAATTACCAAGTGTTTAACATATAATACGGATTTAGTCATTAAATTTAAATAAAGCGCGTATAAAATATTAATTTTTTGTAGCAATCTTTTGGGCTGCAGCTACTTTCATATGGTTTCTAAAGTGTAGCATACTTTTGGGCAGTCGATAGTTGCTATTATAGAAGTAAAATTTTATATTGCATGCTTTTGGGCGCTGCTGGATGTGCAAATTGTGCAGCCACCTACTGGAATTTCTGCGCGCCTGGTGTAAAAAATCAGAAAATTTGGTATGAAACGCCCAAGTCCCGACTTTTGTAAATTTTTGGGACCAAATTGGGCACAGTTTGGGAGCCACTGGACAAGTTGATTATTGAATAAACCTGGAAAATTACATAATACTCTGCAGTTTGAGAGCAACTGAAAATTGTTGATATAAAATCTAAAAAATAGTCGCTCGAGAATAAGGTTTGAGAGCCACTGTATTTTGTTTTTTAATTTCAAAGTAGGACAAATTTTTTGTTTTGCTCAAATGTAAGTTTGATAAACATAAAAAAACATGTTTTTATTAAAAATAAAATATAGTTTATTGTAAAATGATGCAAGTCCTTGCAGCCGAAACGTAATACACCAAAGGGCATAAAGTCTTAAACCATAATGAAAAGTAAACGTAACTAACTAAAACTAAGCAGATACAAACGATTTCCCATCCTCAAAAGAGGGCAATGGCAAACTACGCAATATTTCATCTCTGGCTTCACAGGTTGGAAGAGGAGTCGGCCGCGGTCTCGGCCACGTTGTCAGGGCTCCCGAGCGTGGACGGCAATCCCTTGGGCATGTTGTGCTGCGATTGGGATGTGCTGGCGTCCCGCTCGCGACGCGTCCGCATCAAGAGGTCAATGAGATCGAGGAGCTGCTCGTCGCCGGGGCTGCACTGCACCAGCAGCTGCTGCACGAAGGCCATTCGCTCGACGTCGGAGCGTGGGCCGCTCTTGAGGATCTCCGGCACCTGGGCCAGCAGCCCGCTGCGGCAACTGTTGCTGATCTTGGACTTGGCGCAGACGTACTCCAGCACGGAGTTGGGATTGAGGCGATCGCACACCACCGACGAGAGGTTCTCGCGCACAGCGTGGTCCAGGAAGTCCTTGGAGTGATTCTCGGACAGCGTCTCCAGCACATTCGTTTTCAGCTTCTCGTTGGCGCCCATCTGGGCGGAGAGGAACTTGGCCAGCGTGCCGGCGCTCTTCAGTTGACCCTTGTCGAAATAGCGCTGCAGAACCGACTCCAGCGGCAGCTGATCCACCACCAGCCCGAGGGCGGCCTCTGGATCCATGATGGCCAGATCCTGAGCAGCTACCTCTGGCGCCAGCGGCTCCACCTCCATGGCCTTGACGGGCTCTTCGGTGAGGCTTATGTTCTGCGCGTTTGCCGTGTCGTTCCACTTCAGGCTGGTGAAGGCATCCTCGTCGGGAGCTTCTCCGCCCGCCGACTTGTCCAGCGTCTTGTCCGTCGTCGCCGTCCTGGCCGTCTGCTCGCTGGCGAAGCGCTCGATCTCGATGATGCTGTCCAGGCGGCCACGTCGCCTCAACGCCTGGCGCATTTCGCTGGTCTGGGCCACCTTGTCCATGAGCAGGCATCGCTTGGGCTTCAGGGTGCTGCGCGTCTCCTCGGAGTCCCGCAGGTACTCCTTGGTCACGGACACCGGCGGGTCGTGGAAGCTCACCCGCTTGCGCTTCAGCGCCGGCGAGTCCAGGGTGACATCGTCCAGGCTCTCGCACCGCAGCTTCCGCTTCAGGATGCTCACCGAGGGACTGGCCGAGGGCGAGGGCAGTCGCTTGGAGAACGTCAGCAGATCCTTGGAGGGCTGTGCCTGGATCGGCGTGGAGGTGTGCTCCGTGCCCGTCAGCTCGTTGAGTTCGCTGGTGGGCGTGGACACCTGCTCGGCGCGATCGAGTATACGGGCTGGCGTCACCTGGTGGACCAGTCGCGAGGTCGACATGGCGGCATAGGGGGAACCGGCGGCAGTGTCCAGCTTCTTGTTGCGGATCATGTTGATCAGCTGGGCACCGCGTCCGGTTAAATGGCCCGTGGGCTTGGGCCGCAGCGTGGGACTCGAGGAGTTGTTTGTCTGCTTGCGATCGGGTGGGGAGTTCTGCGGAAAGGAAGAGAAGTACAACAGAAATTCTTTAAAGTTTTGGCAGAAAAACAGAATTTTAATTAAAATTTGAAGTGAACTACTATAGATCAGCAGAAACAAAACCATTAATAGATTTCGTTAAATGACAGAACTATAAAAAATCGTATTTATCTGAAGGATTTATAAAAATATGCATTTTTAACAAAATAACAACATTTTTCCCACCAAGTTTCAGAATCATCTTATTAGTAGTTTTCAAGTTTGTTGGTCAACATTAAAAATAAACGTTAAGAGATTTAAGTTATTTTTTTCCATTTTTTTCGGATTGCTTTGAAGTCAATAAGAAATAAGATAATTAAACTTCCAATATACGCAAACAATTCCCCAATTTCAAAATTTAAATGAAAGACAATTCCCACATGTATTTTCAAATATTGCATAATTAATGACAACCACTACATGCAACTGTATATAATTTGACTTACCAAGTTACATATCCGCGTGCTGGGCTTCTTGGGCGAAGTTTCCACGGCAGCCACAACAACAGCGGCGGGAGGAGGAGGAGCTTCGCCGCTGCTCCCGGGCAGTTGGGTGGAGGGCACGCCTTCCACGGGAACGGGCACATCTGGCGGCGTAAGCTGTATTTCGGTGGCTGTTTCGGGTTTCCTAACCGGTTCTGGCTCAGGTTGCGACTCAGGCTCGGCGGTGAATTCTGGGAACAGATCTTCGCTCTGTTCGACCACTACAACGGGGGTGGGTTTTGCAGTCTTTGTCTGCTTGCCGGCAGCTGCAAAAATGCAAGTGTTGGGATTAACATTCTAGGCCCTTGGCCACCTGTTGCCTGCGTTTCGCTTACCTGCTGTGGATTGAGCGACCGGAGGCGGTGGCACCTTCTTGGGCGATCTCAGTGGGCGGTCGGGCGTGGGCGTGGGCGGCGCCTGTTCCGTTTCCTTTTGAGCCGCCCGCATACGCGTCTGACGCATTGGCGGCTTGGCCTCCTCTTCCTTTTGGGCTTTGGGTTTGCGGCCGGGTGTCTTGCGGATTGGGGTGGCTGCGTCAGTTGCAACTTGGTCCTTGTCGGATGCCTCGCTTGCCGTGATGTCGATCACTTCCTCGTTGTCATCCTTGCCGGTTAGGGCCAGCTCACCCTGCTTGCTCCTGGCGATGACCACCTTCTTGGGCGTCCAGGGCTTGATGGAGGCCGAGTCCTGCGACTGCGACATGTCGTTGTACAGAGCCGGAATGTCGGACTTCTCGGCAAAGCGCTCCTTCTGGCGATCCGTCAGCTTCTCGGGGTTCAGGCTCCACACCGAGGGGATGATCACGAAGAGATCGTCGCCCTTGAAGAGGTCCCTCAGCTGATTGGCCATGCTCTTCATGGGCAGCTTTCGGAACTTCTCCTGGATGGCACGCTTCCACTCCTCCAGGAAGCCTCCCTCGCATTTCATCTTGCCCCAGCACTGGATGCCAGCGGACAACGTGGGCTTCAGGGCATCAAAAACCACCATTAGTTCGTTCTGGCGCAGCTCCAGCACCAAGTTGCGCAGGGTGTTCAGGCAGGCCTCGAGCATCTGCTGCGAGGAGGGGTGCTCAAAGATGGTCTGGAGAAGGGCAAACACGTCCTTGTACAGCGGCCCCTCCTTGCAGAGGCCAAGCTTGAGCACGGAGGCCACGTAGGCATCGAAGAGCTCCGCGAAGAGCGGTTCGTCCTTGCTCTTGAACAGGTCTGCAAGTGTGGTCTTCAAGTCGCCCAGGAACTTCTTCCTCTCCGCGGCATTCTGACCAGCATTGAGTAGCTGGCGCCACTGTTCGCAAAAGGCGCCATCAAAGGAGTTGCTGGCACGGCGTCCGGCAAAAGCGGCCAATGTCTGGAGTGGCCACAGCAACCAGGTGTCCAGAAGCGAGGCATTATGCGCCACTCGGTATTCGAGCGCATTGGTGCGCAGGTAGTTGGACAGGGCCTGCGACACCTGTCGCCACACCTGCAGCTTCACGGCGAAACCCTCGAAGTCCTCCTCGTCGTTGGCCTGCATCAGGTGCTCGGCAAAGGAGCCCAGCAGCCGGAACTCGTTCTGGTTGCCCGCCTCAATGCGATCGGCGGCGAAGATGCACGCAATGCTCCTCTGCAGGATGGCGGCTGGCACTTCTGTCCTGGCCTTCAGGATCAGCTTGAGGTAGGCCTCCAGAACATCCAGGTGATCACTTCCGGCCACACGCTCCATCACCAGGCTCTCCCCAGCAATGGTGTTGAACAGGGCCCTCACCACACGGCCACCGGAGGCGCTTTCAGCGATCAAAATTTGCTCGATCTCAGCGCAACAGGCCACGGTGAAGGGGGCCACTGCCAGCCGGAACATGGCCAGGCACAGGTTCCGCACGAGCAGCTGCAGCAGGAGTTGCTCCGCCTCGGTGGCGTCGTTCTCGGTGAGCAGCTTCATTCCGGACACGGCGGCGGCCAAAAGTGGCTTCCAGTGCTGCTGCAGCACCTCGCTGCTCATCAGAGGCGACGGATGGGCGAAGGTCTCCAGACGCAGCTCCCTGAGCAGTCGGTGCAGCGGTTCACTGGACTCCACGCCCCATAGGGCCACCAGGCAGGGCAGGGCCAACTCCCGGGCCGTCTGGTAGTTGTGGGCCAGACCGGTGGGCAGATTTCGCGGTCCTCCGCCGAACATGAAGGCCAGGAAGTGCTCCACGGCACTGTCAAAGGACTTGGGCAGCTCCTGGTCCAAGCAGGTGAGCAGGTACCACCACACCCGCAGCTTGATGCCACTCACGTGCGAGGAGCGCGACTGCGAGGTGCGCAGCGGGATCAGCAGCAGACGGAGCCTCTTCACGGAGGCCAACTCATCGTAGGCGGCAAAGATCTTGATGAGCACGCGCCAGCAGAGGAAGGCCTCGGACCGCACACCGTTGTCCGGATTGCGGAAGCCCAGTTCCACGAGGGCCAGGAACTTGTTGATGTACACACAGCCCCTCAACAGATCCTCGTCCATGATCTGCACCAGCAGTGTCCAGACCTTGTGCCAGTTGGAGTTCTTGGCGTCGCGCATCTCGCCGATCTGTGTGGTGTACTTGTTGACGAAATCACTACGGATCTGGGGCCAGCACCTGGCCGAGTGGATGGATGAGACATCGAGGGCCACCAGCGCCTCGGCCAGAGCGGCCACGGCGCAGTCCTGGATCTTGCGGTCCGCATCGAACATCAGGGGCAGAATGTCGCACAGCCAAAACTCCACCAGTTCGTCGTCCGTGAAGGAGGTGCCGATCAGTCCGGAGCTCTTGCAGCTGCTGGCCAGCAAGTCCATCATCTGAATGGAGGGGGAGATTATAAATGGGGGGCCAAGTAATGAGGGTGCTCCACAATTGGGTGCTCCACTTACGTTGCAATAATGCTGACGACGACCGGCTGAAAGCACTTCTTTGGCGGAAAGCTGCACCGTGCGGTAGGACTGCCCCGCCTCCGCGCCGAAGTCAATGTCCATGGCGTGGCGATGCTTGGATTTTGAGCTCTTTAAATATATTATTTCCCTCCTTCAGCAACGTCCACAAGTTATTTTACGCGCAGTTTAAAGAAGATGAAGAGAAAAGCGCGCGAACTGTGCGAAGTAGAGGTGGCAAAAGCAGGTCGATGCGTTATCGATAGCTGGCTATCGATTAACTGCTTAATACTAAAAATACCAAAACATAGAGTTGCCAGATATTTGCAGAGCGGGAATAGCGCAGTTATTTGAATCTGCAGTGCTTAAAACTCTGAAATTTTGTGGGGAATATTGTAATATACAGATTTTGAATCCATCCATTTTTTTAAAAAGCGAGACCTAGAGTAATTTAAACCACAAACATTTAAGGGTATGCATTTTGAAAATAGGATAAGGGGCAAACGTTATGAGCTAAGATTAACATATATATTTTTAAAATCATTACAGAAAAGAAAGTTAGTTTTACATTGCAGCAAACTTTGAATGGAATGAAGTCGCCTTTGTTGGGTCTTAACTGCCTCACAGAATTGCCTTTATTAATTTTTATATCACATTCTTTGTGTGTGTAGTGGGAGCTTCCTGCATCATCCAAATGCATACAAACACACAAAAACAAACAAACAATTTGAATTTAAACATTTTTCTTTGTCGTTTTTATTAGGAAATAAATATTACACACAGAAATGAATATTATAATTGTCATTTCCCCAATAGCACTCGAAATACTTCGGTTGCGGGACACGTTCCCTTCCTAATTAATTAATTAGCTGAACACAATTTGCGGCTGTGAAACCGTCGAAAGCTTCGCCGGATAAGGGTGAAAATAAAAAACTGATAATTAAACTTGGTTTAGCAACAGCTATTACACATAATATTTATATATTTGTCAATAGGTTATACATAAAATATGCGTGTAATTGGTGCGCATAGTTATACTTGAATAATTAATAAAAATAATACACGTATTAAATATATATAAAAGACAACTAAAATGACCAAAAGGGGCTATTACACATGTATCGTATATGCATATATAATATATATGGATATAAATAGTGAAAAATAGTCAAAAACATTTTACATATACATACATATAGGGGTCATACATACATACAGCATACAGCATACATATAGGTATATATAGATTAGTATAAATAATTATTATTATGTAGGTTTTTTGCTTTAAATGCGATTCGATCTTGTCTCGATTTGTTTTAGGTCTAACTTAGGTCGGTAATTGTTAATTGTTAGAGATTTACATGCGACTACCCAGCTTAGATGTTGTTATCCGAATTATGTTTAGTTTAGGTTAATTGTAATATTAGTTACGCTTCGATTTGCACAAATTTACTTTAATTAGGACTAATTCTAGGAAAAACACTTGCAACAATTTGCTGGAAATTCGTTACACGTTTTGGGGGCCTTTGTTTCGTTTCGTTTCGTTTTCATTTCGATTCTTTGTGGATTGTTGGTTTGTTGGTTTCTGTCCTCGTTCCCTTCTTCTGGTTCTATCAAAATACATTATTCCTTTGAGCAACTTAGACTAAAGAAGGTTTTCGTTATGCACTCATTATTGTTATTACTCGATTTCGTTTCTTTGAGAGCCCTGAACAACTGGCGCGTTTAAAACGACCGCTGCAGGTTTGTATTTTGCAATGCGTGTGCTTCTGTGCAATTTTACTGTTTTTTTTTTTTTTTTTTTTTTGTTTATAACTTTAGTTTAGTTTATCATTATTTATCGTTTGTCATGCGACTTTCGTTCTGGTTATCTCCCAACAACTGTGTTTCGTTTTCTATCTACAAAAGGAATCTGTTCTACGTCCAATTTTCAATTTCTTCGACGGACTTTGAGGGGGGAATGTACTTTCTGGGCGGGGGGAGTGGTTCGAGGGGGCGTGGCACATGCAATGACTTGCTTAAAGCTTGTTTACGCTGATGTGGTCGACTGAATGATTGAATGGTCTCTATGTCCTGCGTCCTTAAGAAAAAGGTCACACACACACAATGTGCGAAAAAAAGAAGGAACTGGGAAGAAGTGACGGGGGTCAGCTAATTTCCGGAGGATTTGGCAGGGGCTACAGTTGCGTCTTGCGACATAAATACATTGACATCCGCGTCCGGATCGATCGATTGCCGTATTATTCTGTTCTGCTATTATGTACATCGCCTGGGTAGCTTGCACTAGTAAATTGATATATGCGAATATATAGAATACATGTGTAGCATGGCGCAATGCCGAAGGATAAGATAGATATATGTAAATATATATAAATATATATATAAAGAAGCGGAAGGGGACGAAAGCAAATCGATGCCGCTGTGTTTACATAGATTATGCGATTAATATATGGCATATGGTACGACTTCGTGTACGAGTTCGTGTACGAGTACGAGTACGAGTATATATACGAGTATATGAGCTGTGCTGGAGGAGCTTTAGTAGTGGAAGAAGAAGGAGTGCGTCTCCAAAGACCGGATGATGATCATGACGATGCTGGGATTGCAGATGGGGGGTGGGGAATGAGGGTGTGGGGCATTCGACACCGGACATCGAATCCCCCGTGTTGTACTACCAGTGCATCATGCGCAACTGATCGAGGATGCGCTGCTTGAAGAAGGTGCCCAGCATGCCGAAGACCGTGGAAACGGCGGCCACGCCCATCATGACCTGCATGATGCAATGGATGCCGGACAGCTCCTCCTCCGACTGCTGGCGATGGCGATGGCGCGCCCTGTGGTGCCTGCGACCGCCGTTCTCCTGCAGCCGCTGTAGCCGCTCCATGTCCTCGTCGAACTGCGGCACAATGGCCAGATTGATGACCTCCGTCTTGGACAGCAGCTGCTCGTTGGCTATAGTGTGCGCCTCGGTTCCTCCCGCTCCCACTCCAGCTCCCTTGCTCGTGGCCTCGTTGTGCTCCTTGTCCCGCTCCCGCTGCTTCTCCAGCTCGCGTACACGAGACCGCTCGTCCAGCATCGTGTTGTCGCGGCTGAAGTCGAAGTCGTGGCTGCCGGGCATCAGCGGCGTCTGCAGCGACCGTCCGGACGTCGGGAACTCGGCCAGGTTCACCTTGGCGAGGAACTGATGTCCGGCGGCGGGACTGCGCGACGTGGCTGCCTGCTCCGGCAGCGGAGGCGGTGGCTGCTGCGTGGGCAGCTGGTCGCGCACTCGCGTCTCCTGGAACTGGTTCTTCTTGATGCCCAGTACCTCGGACAAGGGCCGATTGATCATGGGCAGCAACGAGTCGGAGGTGGGCCGTATGATGAAGGATCCGCCGGGCTGAACGTTGTCCGGCGGTTCCAGAATCTCCGGCTGCAGGGGCTTAGGAGTGCTGGCCACCGGGGAGGGCTTTGCCGCCTCGCCCTTACTGTCCTCCGCATCCTCGCTGTCCGTGTAGACAGAGTCCTCGGCGGAGGAGGAGGAGGAGGAATCCTCGGCCTTGGCCTTCGGCTCCTTGGCCGGCTGGCCCGCAAACTTGTGCGTGAGGTTGCGAATGGGCTCATACTTGGAACTCTCCGAGTCTCCGCGATAGAGCAGCGCCACCTTGCCATCGGGCGTCAGAACGGGCGTAATCTTGGGGTGGGGCGACGGAAAGCGATGACTGCTCTCGGGGTCCGGCGACAGGGCATCGAAGTCGGTGAGCGCCGGCTTCTTTTGCTGCTGCTGCTGCTGCGCCTCCTTGTCCAGGGCGCTCTGGTCCTTGTCCGTCTGCTGGTACACAATGCTCACCTTGCCCAGCGGCGTCGAGATGATCTTGATGGCATCGTTGCCGTTCTTGCGATGATACGGACCGTTCTTGCGCTGCTGCGGCTGCTGGGAGCCAAAGAAGCCGCGCCCCTGGTTCTCGCCCGTGTCGGCGAACTCGTCATCGACGCCGTCATCGCCGTCCTCGCCATCCTCGTCATCGTTGGCAAAGTGGCCGCTGCTCTCGCGCAGATCGATCGCAGTGCTCGGCACGGCCACCGCGACGGCCACTTCCGCAGCTGGCTGGGATTCCGTGAGCAGCTTCTTGCGGATGTTCTCCAGCTGGGTCTCGCGGAAGCTGCTGCTCGGCCGGAATCGCGACCGGAAGCCGCCAAAGCCGCTGCCCTCTTCGTTGACGAACTGCTCCTCATCCGGCCTGGGCCTCACTGTTCTGGGCCGCTCCATGGCAATCCGTTCGTCATCCTCGTCGTAGCCCATGTCCTCCTCCTCGTCCGGCACACTTACCAGACCCTTGGGATCGGGCAGCTCCTCGGGATCCTGATCCTCTTGATCCTCCTCCCCATCGTCATAATCATCTAGACCATCGTCTTCATCATCATCATCATCACCGATGGTGTCGTCGTAGAGATCGGACTGCATGCCCTCCGTGGGGTAGTCGTCACTCTCCCCTCCTCGCCCCTCCTCCGTTGTCTCCCCCGCGTCCTCCTCCTCCGTCTCATCATTGTTCGCCCCCCCAACATCCGTGCTATCCCTAGTGCTATGGCTAAGACTATCGTTACTATTACTACTACTATAAGTTAGATTTAAACCTGTTCCTAAACTAACATCTAAGCTGCTATTGCTCCGCTCGAGCAATTGGGTAGTCGCATCTTTCAGTCAGTAGCATTTCTTGGTGCATCCGCACTTGCGCACGATGTCCAAGTTCTTGATGTACTTGCGGTTATTGCTGCACACCATGCGGACCTGCAGTGGAAATAGTGATTAGTTTAGTCTTGGGATTGGGAGACATCATTCAGTTTAGCTTACCTTGCGCCGCCTCACTATCTTGGCCGCGCAGCACTGGTTGCCGCAGCCGCCCACGCACTTGGCGTACTTCAACGGCTGCCTCGAGCGGCAGTCGTTCTCCGTGTAGTACTCGCGCACCTGCTCCTTGCGACAGGTGGACGCCGCTGAAATGGGGCAGAAGGAAGAAGCCAACGGAGCGCAATTAGTCAGTGGGTTAAGGCAACGTGAGCCCAGCGGCTGCATAATTAGAGCTAACAAAGTGCACAGTAGTGTCACCTTCCCCCCGAAGTGCTCCTTTGATGGATGAGTAGCATGGAAAGCGGGTGTCTTGAATGTTGGTGTGCGAATATGTGCCAATAATTAAGGTTGAGGGGGTGTTAACATGTCCTTGCTGGCGAAGAGTTCACTT